TTTTAGGAGGGGGTGATCCTTTTTCACAACTCGGTGATACAGTTTTTTTGAATTTATTTTCTGACATATTGGTGTTATATCTTTGACTTGAATGTTATAAGTTGTGTTGAGTAAATACAGCTGGATAAAACAAAAACTGTCTGTTTTCATTTCAGACTGCAAAGCAACAAAATGTGATTATTTTAAAGGAGTGATTATTTTCTATACTCACTGTATGTAATAAAAAATAAAAAAACCAGTGGTGATCAAATACCACCAAAAGAAAGCTCTATTCGTTTTAAAAAAATGATTTAAATTTAATTTGCGTACAGTGTTGCATGACTGCTCAATTGCCAGTTAAAATAGCGCAGTGAGCTGAATGGCAAAAAATGCCCCAGTCATGAAAGGGTAAATCTTTCCAGAGTTAAAGTGGATAATGACTGACCCAATTCCAGAAGTTATTCACCCCTCCTTGCTGCCTTGTGCCCTATGGAATAAAAATTAAAAGGAAAAAAAATGATTGTTCCCACTATGGAAGTAAGGGAAATCCCTCTAACAAATCCCAGATGACAGAAAAAAACCCAACAATAATTGTAGTCCCAAGCCAATTTTTAGCTCGACTTTCACTTTATTGATGGCTATAGGCAACTCTGTTAACTAAATCGTACAGTACAGGACACAGGCTTCATATTCATAGAGCCTGGGTTATTTTTGTGTAATTGGACACTGACAAAGCTTTTTAGGACACACTACCTGGGCATTCCCCCTAAAACCCTACCCCACTTTGAGTGCTTGGTGTTTTGCTAGTTAAGATGAAGGACCTCATCTCCCTTACAAATCAAACACTTCTAGCTTTAAAGCTTAACTTCAGTTTTCTCTCACTTTGTTTGGACCAAGCTGGTCCAAACAATTCGCTTCACTAACAGATGTGCCCGCTGTGAGCGCTAAACAAACTGTATGTAGCATTAGCTACATACAGTATAGAGCTCTGTATTCCAGCAGCTGGACATGGACTTGAGTGTGAAGAACTCTCAAACCATTTAGGTGACTTCTTTCCTTGTGCCATGTCTGGGCGTGCTCCGAGCCATCAGTCTACCTCAAAGCTACAGCTTCTAACAGGAAGACTTAACTTCCATTTTGTCACACCCTCATGCGCTTGCATGGGACATCCTGCATCAAGATCCACCGTTGCTTGGTTGATGAGACAACTAATCTCAAGAGCTTACACCCTAAAAGCACCTCCTGCACCAATACATGCTCACTCTAACTGATTTGATAGGAATTTCCTGGGCATACTGACTTAAAGCCTTTGTTGCCCAGCTTTTTAAGGCCGCCTCCTAGTCTTCTGTTCATACCTCCAATCTTCTGCGGGTGCAGTTTTTGACTGCTAGGTTCTATCAGCAGCTCTCTGATTTGGGTCTGTTGACCTTTGCTATTGTTGGGCCTGTTGGCACAGTTCTCTTTGCCTTGCTGTTGTCCACCCTTCTTTTTCGTTGTTTGAGGATATCCCAGGTATTATGAATATCCAGTCTTTGTCCTGTACTGTACAATTAAGATAAAAGGAGTTTTTATTTGCCTGTAAAAACTGCATCTTGAAGTACAGTACAGGCCAGAGGCCACACTCCCTTTTTTTTTTTTCCTGGGATAATCAGCATTGTTGGGTACAAAACCGAGGATTCAGAGTAGGGTTGTAGTGTGATGCCCAGGTTGCATGTCTTTAAAAGCTTTGCCAGTGTCCAATCACCTGACGGTACCAGTCTATAACACAGGGTCTGTGAATATCAAGGCTGCTTCCTGTACTCTAATCCAAGATATGAAATTTACAGGTAAGTCAACATGCCCTTTTTAACCTATATGACAAAGAAAAGCATGTTTGAAAAAAAGGAAAAGCTTTTTGTATGCTTGACTTTAAAAACTAGAAAATCAGTTAGAAATAGCGGTACACTGAAATGAAAATTCTAGTGCCAAAACTTCAGGAATCATTTGGACAAAAACTGAAAGGGACAGTTTTGCATTAAAGTCACTAGGGGCGCGATTTTGTATTGAAGTCTATTGGATGCAGCATGCCATTATCGGCATCTTTTTTTCCATCAACAAAATGCAAATAACCCTATTTTCGGCCGATAATTTTCAGCGCTCCATATATTGGTGCATCCCTAATTAGAAATGCAAAATTCATATACCCGTCAGTCCAGACTAGGAGCTAGTAGATACATGTGGCCTGGGTACCTTGTGATTCTATAGAAGATACAAAATAAACATAATAAATGTCCTTTTCTGACGTGTAGTACACTGTCTACCTGGCTTTAGAATGTGTGTAGGTGAAATAGGCTGTTAGAATAAGTAGAGTGATGGAAATTGAACAGTTAAAAGGAATCAAATCTAAAGTTTAAAAGTGTAAAATCATTGATGGCACAGGAATATATTGCACAAGTTAAGTTCTGTTCTGTGATCATAATGGGCAAAGCAAGATATCAGAAATTGGCCAACACTATGTAAGGCTAGGTTCACACCTATGCAGTTTGCATTTGATCTGTTTCTGCAGTGCTTTTTGCAGTGTGTGTTGCCTTTTTACACTAATTTTTGTGGCGTTTTTGGTGCTTTTTCTTTTTCAACTTGTTACTGGGCAAAATAAAATGCAAAACACATCAAAAACTCGCTACATGTTTTTTTTCTGCAGCATCTCCACTGAAGTCTATAGAACAAAAAAACTCAACGCACCAGGTGAAAACGCAGAGATGTGAACCTGTCACATAGGAAATAATGTTAAATGGACTACTATGCATTTCTGCAAAACGCAGCGGAAAATGCATAGGTATGAACCTAGACGAATATAGAGATATATATATATATATATATATATATATATATATCTTCGTCTAGGTTCATACCTATGCGTTTTCCGCTGCGTTTTGCAGAAATGCATAGTAGTCCATAGATAGATAGATAGATAGATAGCCAGGTCATGCACCTGCTTATTTTAAGATCAATTAGCGTGATCCATGAGCTCTTTTCCTTGTTAGGACATGGTAATGATTAGGGAGTATGAAGGATAATAAAAAGCATTTACATCATCCAGTGGTGTTATGTTTTTCTGTTGGGTGACCTAGAGCTTGAGGTTTCCTTGGTAACAGAAATTTAAAGAGGGATGGAGATGTACCAGTTTGAGGGCAAGCTAATAATAATTAAGAACAGTTTGAAAATAAGTTGCTTTTGGATGTTTAGTGTTTTATAGTAAAACTCTCTGGGTTAGGATTCCTTCCGGAGGTCCTCTCTCTACAGTCTAGTGGAGGCTTTAAAATGGAAACTACTTTATTTTTCAGTGAGCATACATAAAAGTACTTTTAAATGCAGCTTTGCATTTCTAGCTGTTCCATATTTTCATGATTATGTTTCACTTACACATTTTGTTGACACTATTGCCAAAATGTATAGGGGGGGGATAATGCATTGTATTGGTATTGTTCTGTCACATGTTCTGTCTCCCTTTGTAATGTACAGCGCTGAGCGAACTATTGGCGCTTTATAAATACTGTATATAATAATAATAATAATAAAGTATCTTTCCTGGACCAATGCTGAGATAAAATAGATTTCATAATCCACATAAGGAGTGTTTTATATTGCCCTAGCAAACTGTTACAATTTCACTTCGAGAAATCTAAAGGCATAATTGCTGTACTACTTTACTAAGCAGAAAGCAAAGTCTCTCTATGTAATGTGCAAATATGACCAGGCCCTGTGAACATACATGATTACAAAGTTTATTTTTTAGGGGGGTATTTTTCTAGCACAACCGCTTGTGATGGCAGTCCTCAATTTCCTAGTGCTTGTTTCAGTGGATCACACAATCGCTTATGACTGACAGTAGTAAAAAAAAGTTAGTATTAGATTACTTAAGAGAGAAAATGTAAAGGTAACACTAACACCGGACAACCCTGGTCCCTCATGTACTTTCTTCTAGGGTTGGGGAGCTATCAGCATCCCCGCAGATGGTTTGGGAATTTGAAATCCCCACTCTTCTCCATCTTTGTGCAGAGCTTCTGGGACGGACCAGATAAATTCACTGTGACAGCACGGGCCAATCATCGATCTTGGAGAGCTGCACAGGGAAAAGGCAGAAGAGAGGGGATTTCAAATCCCCCCCCGACCACTGGACTTTCTACGGTGGTGCTGACTGTAAGTATAGCAGGGGGTGGGGAGTCTCACCACTGGTTGTACACAGCCACAGTCTAGGTAATACACTGCATTACTTGGGACATCTTTGTGTGTCTATATGCAGCATTAGCGAAGGTGCCACTGGCATGCACTAGTAGGGACATGGTGTTTTAACCAACAGGCTGCTTGTGTCTGATTTTATAGACTCTTTGATCATTGTGCAGTGGGCAGTATATATACTAAAAACTCAGTCTGAGTATAGGGTACAGAGATGGGAATAAGAAGCAGCACGCAAGTCAGCAAATATCTGGAAGAAAGTGGTATCTGTATCATGTTATTGGGTTATCTTTTTTTAACAATTGTACATTGTAAAGTCCATTGGTTAGTCCATTGTAAATAAAAGGTGAAAAATGCACTTGTGTGAACAGTGTTAAGTTGTAATCAAATACAATATTGGAGTTCATAATTCACACATAATTCCTATAAAATTGTAGGGTTACCCATTTTGCTTGCTTAATGTAGTTGCCTATAGGGTGTGGAGGGAGTGGAAGGATTAAAAGGGTTAGCTGTGGGATTGGCTTGAGTTGGAAAGGGGTGGAGCTGGGAGTGCAAGTGATTTCAAGGGAAAATCTGTTGAGAGAAATATGGAGGCTTTAACTGCAGACCTTTCCAGTTTGACCGTCATATAGATCAAGTGCGTAGATTGGAAGAGGGGAGATATTTGTGTCGGTATTGGTTTCCTTGATGAATTCCTAAAAATTATCAGGAATTCATCCATCAATGGTTTACTGTTTTGGGTCCAATGGATCTATAGGTTGAAGAACTAACTGTTGTACTGATGGCTTGCCATGATTCTGTTTCAGATACCTCCTGTTCATGAAGTTGGCTGCCATGCAGCTGATGCAGCAGAAGAGCTCCTCACAGGAGAATGTTGGTTCCCTAGAAAATGGGGGTCCTGCAACCTCATCCGATTCATCTGCCAAAACTGAACCTCGGGAAAGCAGTCTGTCTGAGGACAAGATGGGGGACAGTATAGATGGCGAGTCCCAAGTCAAAGAGCTAGCTGAGACTGTGGCTTCCAACAACGAAGCAGGTAGAAACCTATTTACATTAGCTGTGTCTTCTAAGTGAACTTACTAAGCTTTCAGTATATGAGCTGATGTACAGTACATTTTGGGGAAGGCAGCTGTAATTTATCTGGTTCTTATGGCAAACCACGATTCTTTCATGTTGGTGTTGAGCTTTCAGTGTCGAAAATGTAAACTCAAGATAAAGAACTCTTTTGAAGAGGTAGAACAAAACATAATGCTATGTTCTTTTTTTATTATTAAATAAAGCTACAGAATTAAAATTTTTGTCAGGATGTGTCAGACTGCAAGTGTGCAATCCAAACGCACATGTTCCTGTGTTTAATAATGGGTGTGTGTATAAATGGGTGCTGCAGCAGTGACCGTCGGCTGGAACCGAACAGAATCAGCAAGGGAGAATGTCACCAGCACACCAAGGATCACCAATATGGTCCAAAAGTTTTAATAAACGATCACATAGTTACAGCAAGGCAACGTTTTCGGAGTCTCGTAGGACCTCTTCATCAGGCATGTCACATGCCTGATGAAGGGGTCCTGCGAGACTCCGAAACGTTGCTTTGCTGTAACTATGTGATCATTTATTAAAACTTTTAGATCCATATTGGTGATCCAGGATGTGTTACACATCCCTTATATAGAACATGGTTGTACTGTTACTTGGCTCACTGTCTTCATTCTATTGGTATATGTTTCAAAATTGCTTATACATGTTGTGTATGTATGTGTGTATATGTATGTGTGTGTATATATATATATATATATATATATATATATATATATATATATATATATATATATATGTATGTATGTATGTGTGTATATATAGTGAAGGAAATAATTATTTGATCCCCTGCTGATTTTGAATGTTTGCCCACTCACAAAGAAATGATCAGTCTAAAAATTGAATGGTAGGTGTATTGTAACACTGAGAGACAGAATAGCAACAACAAATTCAAAAGAAATGCATGTTCAACACATTCACTGATTTGCATGTACATGAGGGAAATAAGTATTTGATCCCCTATCATTCAGCAGGATTCTGGTTACCAGGTGTCTTTCATACAGGTAACAAGCTGAGATTAGAAGCAGTCTCTTAAAAAAACGAGTGCTGCTAATCTCATTTTGTTACCTGTATAAAAGACACCTGTCCACAGGAGCAATCAAACAATCATCAGATTCCAAACTCTCCACCATGGCAAATACCAAAGAGCTGTCCAAGGATGTCAGGGACAAGATTTTAGACCTACACAAGGCTGGACTGGACTACCAAACTATCGCCAAGCAGCTTGGTGAAAAGGTGACAACAGTTGGTGCAATCATTCAAAAATGGAAGAAACACAAAACAACTGTCAGTCTCCCTAGGTCTGGTGCACCATGCAAGATCTCACCTCGTGGAGTGTCAATGACCATGAGAACAGTGAGGAATCATCCCAGAACTACATGTGAGGATCTTGTCAATGATCTCCAGGCAGCTGGGACCACAGTCACCAAGAAAACAATTGGTAACACACTTATGTCGACAAGGATTGAAATCCTTGGCCTAGCCAGTCTCCAGACCTTAGTCCGATTGAAAATCTGTGGAGGGAGCTTGAAGTTCAAGTTGCCAAACATCGGCCACCAAACCTTAATGACTTGGAGAGGATCTGCCAAGAGGAGTGGGCCAAAATCTCTCCTAAGATGTGTGCAAACCTGGTGGCCAACTACAGGAAATGTCTGACCTTTGTGATTGCCAACAACGGATTTGCCACCAAGTACTAAGTCATGTTTTGTGAAGGGGATCAAATACTTATTTCCCTCATGAACATGCAAATCCGTGCATAATTTGTTACATGCATTTCTTTAGAATTTTGTGTTATTCTGTCTCTCAGTGTTACAAAACACCTACCATTCAATTTTTAGACTGATTGTTTCTTTGAGTCGGCGAACAATCAAAATCAGCAGGGGATCAAATACTTATTTCCTTCACTGTGTGTGTGTGTGTGTGTGTGTGTGTGTGTATGTATGTATGTATATGTATGTGTGTGTGTGTATGTATGATATATGTATGTATGATATATATATAAGCTCTCCTGGATTGTAAGCTCCAAGGAGCAGGGCCCTCCTATCCCTCTTGTATTGAACTGTACTGTTGCTGTATTGTCTCCCGTTATATTGTAAAGCGCTGAGCAAACTGTTGGCGCTATATAAATCCTGTATATATATATATATATATATATATATATATATATATAGATAGATAGATAGATAGATTGATTTGTGTGTATATGTGTAATGTATTATCTTTTTTTTTTTCTCTTTCTTTTTTTCTTTGTAGTTGATTTGAAGAGTCGAGAGGTAATTCGTAAGGCATGTCAGGCTGTTGGCTCAATTAGTGAAACATCATTTGATATTCGCTTCAACCCAGACATCTTTTCTCCAGGTACTCAGAGATACTTAACATTATATGTAAAAATTGTAGGGGTCAACTGTTTAGTGCTGTAAAGTGCACTAATCTAGTACTGATTTTGGTGCAGCTATCCATGGCATGCCAGCTTGCCGTTTTTTTGTAGCAAGTTGTGTGACAAGTTATGTGACATCACTCAGAGGTATTCTACTGTAATGGCAAAAGTGTAAATGGCTAGAGTAAACCTTATTTTTAAAGGTACCAGTGTATCCAAAAGTGTTAACATTGTTGTATTGGAAGGGACTAACCAGTACCAGTAGATTGTGTTCATTAACTTTAAAGTGCCTCTGCTGTGCTCCCCGTGCCCCAAGCAGCTTGTAAAAGTGTGCCACCATGTAAAAACTTCCCAGTTTTGTACGTGTGTGTGTGTGTGTGTGTGTGTGTGTGTGTGTGCCTCTGCCAAAATACCTGCACTTCATTATGAGATGATGGTGTGTAGTGTGAACCTGGTAGCTGCTTGTATAGTTTTAGCGGTTTAAAGAGGACAACAGAGGCACTTTTGTTGCGTGGTGTGATCTTCAGACATTGGATGCTGCCTTCTATCTTAGTCTAAAGTGGGTTCAGTATGTTTCAGAATCATGCAGGTGTACTTTAAGGTCACTAAGAAATTCTATGTAACACAAAGACCAGACACCTCTGTTCAGGTCCTAGAACTGCACGGTGATCTGTAATATTTTTATTTCATTGTAGGGTTGACATTTCATTAAACATTTACATGCATTTTAAAGGTGAATGGGAAACTCGAAACTAATATATGCCACTTACATGTGTATTTTACTACAGGTGTGCGTTTTCCTGAGTGTACACAGGCAGAGGTGCAGAATCAGAAACAGCTGCTGAAGGATGCGGCCTCTTTTGTGCTGACCTGTCAGATTCCATGTTTGGTAAGAATGTCATTAGAACATGGTCTCCATTGCATTATTATGATTACGTATTTTAAACGGCAAGCAAGTGTTTCTCTAATGTAATCGCAATACAGTGATGGTCATATTGATACCAGTAAAACAGTTTTTAGATATTTTGTGGTTTTTTTTGTTTTGTTTTTTATTTGGGATAAGTTTATTCAAGAGCTGGAAAATCAAAATGACAGTGAGTCATGTTACATCTTTTCTTTACAGAATGGAAAACAAAGGAAGCTGGTTGTTTGCCACTGGGCTACATTTTCTCAATTTTCCATTTTGGTAAATTACTGATAGCAAAGTGAATAAAAAACACAAATATACAAAATGAATCCTTAGCATTTTTAGCAGATTCTGTATCTGTCTAAACCTGCTGCTAGTCAGTTTGTTGTGAGATGACTAAGTGGCTGTGCAGGTTGCTGGGGGTCAGCTTAGCAACTTCATGACTGAGCCATTAGATGTTGTATAACTCCTAAGACAAGACAGAGGCCTTGTCCTTGTTCTTTTTCAGTACGTGTTTTCAAGTGTTCTCCTTGAGACTTGCAATTTACTGTGTCTCTGGACTGCCGAAGTCTGTAATCCTACTTAGGAGCCAGTCATTTTTTTTTTTCTGGTCACTATATCATAAAATTTGCCACTATATGGAGGCATACTCTCCTTGTTAGAGTGGTTCTTATCAAGTCATAACTAATAATGCTGCAGGAAAACCAAATAATTGCTCTTGTTATGGTATATATTAGTAGAAGAGGCCAACACTTTTTTTTTTTTTTTTTTTTACTTTGGCTATATTTTTCATACAAGACCACACACAATAGGCAGGCATATTACTGTATATCTATTTAGTGGGTACATTTTTTGTTTGTTTGTACACTAAGTTCTCTGCATGACAATGTGTGATTGTGTCATCCTTTACAGATTAAGGACTGCCTTGATCATAATGTAGTTCCCATGGATGGAGCCACCTTAGCTGAAGCAATGCATCAGAGAGGAATTAACATGCGCTATCTTGGAAAAGTTATAGACATTGCCAAGAAGTTTCCTGTCCCATCCCAACTAGATCATGTCTATGTAAGTAATGAAGTCAATTGTTTGCATCAGATTGCAGGGCTAAGGAGAACAAAGCAAGGCTATCGGATGGCTATCTAACTGTGGATATTATCGATGGCTTCGCTGCATTCTGCAGAAGGCAAACCTACATTTGGGTACATTATTAAAGGCTAAGCTCAGCTATCTGGATGTGTTACCCCCGTATTTATGGTGTAACATGTTCAGCATGCACTCCGTCTCCCCCCATCCATCTTTTCCCTGTACTTGCTGTCACAATTTGAAAACAATGCAGCTATGCAGGGCTCCACCCACACAGCCGCGCCATTCATTCACAGTTTCCTGTGAATTATTAGACTGCAAGTACCATCAGTTATTGCGGCTGACGTCTTGTAGTTCTCAAACAATGAGAGCACTCCTGTAGTTAATGGATCTTCCTGCTCTCAAGTAACTGCCTGTCCGCCCGCCCATACAGGAGGTATGGACAGACAGGTGTCCTGAAAGTCTGCAGGAGCTTACTATGCTTTCAGTTTACTATGCTTTGGTGATGAATGAACACAGGACCGATTGGTATTGACTACTCACTGTGTTCAATCTGGAAAGGAAGGATTGTTTACCAGCCCTGCCATTCTGACACCAATATCCCACCTGTGCCTCAGCAGTAGCTGCAGCCGGTGGGGTGGACAGGAAGCCAGCAAGCAACACTGCAGGGATTGGGATGGGGTGTAGAGAGACGGGTGCTGCGTGATCGGTGCGGCAGGGAAGGGGGAAATAAGAGTGGTGGGGGGCTGCAGTTTAGCTGACTGCACTGCGGGGGGACACAGGAAAGAAATGTCAGAGATGCAGTAATGAGGGGGGGGGGGGGGGTCACATTATAAGTAAATAGCTCTGAGCTGCAGATTGTCATCCACTACTTGGAGATATTGTTTTTTTCAGCAGTCTGCTGAACAGTTTTGCTAGATATTCGTGATTACTGAAGTGACCATGAGCTTATAACAGGAGGAGGAATGTCGGGTCCATACGGCATATGGACCTGGCCAGCTAGAAGCAGTGCTGTATGTCCATACGCCATAAGGACCTGGCAGCGAAAGGGTTAAAATCTATGGTATTCACAGAAAATGTTATCCTATTTATTTATCGGAAATCTGTGCTGAGAGAGTAATGGGGGCTGCCATTGCTGACATACTAATAATGAGCAAAATGATGACCCTGCTTAAGGCGTTCCATCTTCCCTACCTTAGTTGCTGGCCTCCTCCTGGCTTGTCTCCAGCTGCATTCATATGAGATCAGAACTAATGACAGCTGTATACCAAAGCAGCAAACCTGTAATCAACTTTATTGATCAAGCACATTATGCATATAGCACACTTGTCCCAGAGTGCTTGAGATTGTTCTAAAGCTACTGAATTAAACCAGGGGTTAGAAACTGCAGCCTCCTTACTTCCTTGGTACAGACTTTTTAAAAATGGCTTCTGATGATAAAAAGTTAGACTGCAGGGGAAATATCCTGGTCCTGCGACCAAGTGCGATATTGAGCACTTTAATAACCGTGCCACTTTAAGGCCTCTTGCACACAGGAGTAAAAAAGAAAATATAAAACATTATGGAATAAAAAAAAAAAAAAAATTTTTTTTTTTGCTGATCTGAAACAAGATGCATTGTTCTATGGGACAATGCGCACAGCAGAGTAAATATTAGTAATACATCGTTGAGTACAGAGCTGTAAAACAAAAATGGAAAATTTTTCATCTGGCAGTGAAGAAGAATTTTACCTGTCTACATGCTTACACAAGTTTACTAACCTATACTCAACAATAATCATGCCTGCCTTTACACACCAGGTTGATTTAATAAAGCTGGAGAGTGCAAAATCTGGTACAGCTCTGCATAGAAACCAGTCAGCTTCCAGGTTTATTTGTCAAAGTTTAATTGAACAAACTGAAGTTAGAAGCTGATTGGCTGTCATGCACAGCTGCACCAGATTTTGCATTCTCCAGAATTAGTAAATCAACCCCACTGTTTCTTAATTCAGGGACTTTCTGTCAACGTCTTGAGTAAAAATCAGTAAATTATGACCCCCCCATGTGCAAGAGGTTTAAATAAAGAAACCGGAAATATTTCCTGTGGGCTCCAAAGACTTTGTTAGTTCAACAGTCTTCCTGCAGAGGACTTCACGTTGATCTTCTGTCATCATTGATACAGAAATGCAGCTTTCCACCCTACTCTGAGCAGAAATAGTTGTAACCATTGTATATATTTGATTGCATGATTTCCAGGTGTTTTCTTTACAGGTTTATAGTAAGAAAAACAAATTATGACTGTCTTCATCTTTTGTCAGAAAATCTTAATTAGTGAAGTGATTACCAGATCTGCAAAGCACGTCTTCAAGACATATCTGCAGGTAATACAAACATTTTTTAACAATTTTTTTTTTTTTTCATGTTTTTTATAAACAGATTTTAATAAAATGTAGTTTTTTAGTGGCACTTTCTTATTTTTTTAGCACATTCGCTAATATTAGAGCATAGGAATCTGTTGTGCGCTCTTTGTAAATCATACAAGAAATAAGAATGGTTAGAGACTGTATTATTTAAAGTGGTAGTAAACTCTGCTTTGTCACATTTACCTATAGGTAAGCTTATAATAAAGCTTACCTGTTGGTAAAATTAATATCTCTTAAACATGCACCATTTAGGAGATATTTGCATGTTTTGCAGCCAGTGCTGTGCCATGACTCCTGTGCGCATGTGCAGGAGAGACGTCATCATAACTAGCTCGCAAGTCAGAAAGGCCTTGAGGGATGTAACTCTTCCCCTCCAAACAGGACACACATTGCCACACTTGGAGTTTGCATGTTTTCCCTGTGCCTGCGTGGGTTTCCTCCGGGTTCTCCGGTTTCCTCCCACACTACGACATGCTAGTAGGTTAATTGGCTCCTGTCTAAATTGGCCCTAGTATGTGTATGTATGAATGTGAGTTAGGGACCTTAGGTTGTAAGCCCTTTGAGGGTTAGGGACTGATGTGAATGTACAATATATATGTAAATTGCTGCGTAAATTGATGGCGCTATATAAGTACCTGAAATAAATAATAAACTTTTTCTTAAGGCGGTCCCTCAGGCCCATGCCCAGTTATTGTGTTTCCTCCATCCAGAGTGGAAATGTTGCCTGAGGGACAGCTGGAGTGCTCCATCTTTAAAAGGGCTGCCTATGGGAATGAGAGCTCCGTTCCAGAGGTCATCTTACCTTGCTGACATTTTTTGGTTGAGTTGGTCGGTTTGGCGGCCTCAGCACTCCCTCCTTAGCCTCCCTCTGAGCCCAGGCGTGGCGGAGGACAGCGGTGTAAGCATCCCCTTGGTGGCTTCAGTGGGAATGGGGCGGGGGCAGCTTCTACGGCTGGATGCTTCTTGGACCAGAAAAGCAGGCATGCCACTTCCGGGGTGGGATGACGTCATTGGCGTGTGCCCTGGGGAAGTGGTCCCGACCCCTTAAAGGCGCAGGCAGAAGAGGAGGCCGGCTGGTACTTTATGTGGATGCCACTGCAGGGGACAGAATGAGCACCACACAGCCCACAGGATGTAGGGGGATGAGTTTGAGCTGCCGTCCGCACAGGCTCTGGGGTATGCAAGTACCAGTGGGTGTCCTTTTGTGTCTAAGACTTTGGGTCCGAGTGCCTGGGTGGTTGAGATGCCTAGCTGTCTGAGGCACAGCAGGAGTGCAGTGTTCACTGAGTGAGCACGTTTCCATGGTGGGTTAGTTGTGTATTGACCACCTGGGACTCCTGTGTTTTTATGTCTTTGGCAGGCAAAGCCGCTTAAAGACCCCAAGCCTATTTAAAAAAAAAAAAAAAAAAGCACTCTGCAAAGTGTGGAACGAAGATGCCTGCGGAATACACAGAATCGCATTGTAAACAGTGTGTCGCCTGTTTGTTAAAAAAGGAGTCGGACACCCTTTATGCAAACTTATTTGGGTCAGTCAAGGAAGAAATGCCCTCTACCTCTAAGGAGTTTAAGAAGCTGATTGCAGACATCAGAACACCTACTGCTCCAGCTACTCAATCCTCACCTATAGCCTCGCCAGGGTCGGTGGCTTCAGGATGTCTCTGCGGACAGGGCAGTAAACCTGGCGACTAGTGATGCTGATGCTTTCAGTTCGGAATCTGAGCAGAAAGGAAGATGAAAGGAAAGGCTCTAAGTTTACATTGTCCTTAGATGTCAAGGAGTTCTTAGCGGCCATTTAAAAGACCTTAGAAATTGAGGAAGAGAAGGGTCAACCATCAAAACATGACCTGACAGGCCTTATAAGAAAAAATTCTAAAGTATTTCCAGTGCACCAGGTAATGTGCTTTAACCGTTTCAATACTGTGTGATTTTACACCTTCCTGCCCAGGCCATTTTTCAGGTTTCAGCGCTCTCACACTTTGAATGACAATTGCGCGGTCATACAACACTGTACCCAAACTAAAATTTTATCATTTTCTTCACACAACTAGAGCTTTCTTTTGGTGGTATTTAATCACCGCTGGGGTTTTTATTTTTTGCTAAATTAACAAAAAAAGACCAAAAATTTTGGAAAAAAAACACATTTTCTTTGTTTCTGTTATAAAAGTTTACAAATAAATAATTGTTCTTCATAAATTTAGGCCGAGATGTATTCTGCTACATGTCTTTGGTGAAAATAACCCAAATTAGGATGTATTTTTTAGTTTGTAGGAAAGTTATAGAGTTCACAAACTATGGTATAGATCTGAATATTGATCAATCCTGAAGTACTGACAGCCAATCTAATTTCTTGAGGTCCAAGAATGTCAGAATAGTACAGATATCCCCCAAATGACCCCTTTTTTGCAGAGTAGACAGTCCGACGTACTTCATAAGAGGCATGGCGAGTTTTTTGAAGTTGTATTTTTTTGTCATAATTTTTCGGAAAATGAAAAAAATTAAAAAAATTATTTTCACAATTTTTTTTTTTACATACTGTCACCAGTGCAGTACAGCGTCTTCATATAACTGGCATGGCGGTGAACATGGACACTGACTGGTGACAGTGTGAAAAAAAAAAAATATATATATATTTTTTTTATTTTTTTTTTTTTTTTTATTATATTTAATTTTTTATTACATTTTTTTAAAGATTTTTTTTTCATATTTTACTATGACCAAAGTAGTACAATGTTACCATAGTAACATTGTACTACTTTGGGGGAATGATCAGTATTTTTTTTTTTTTTTTTTTTATACACAGTTTGCTTATAGCAAAGAATTACTTTGCTATAAGCAAGCATTTAGCTGAATGAAATCAATTCATTCAGCTTTTTTTTTTTTTTTTTGTGCTTAGCTGTGATTTGGTCACAGCTAATCACATGACATGTGCATGTGACCTGCTGTGACCATTCACAGCTAGGCACTAGTATACAATGGATGGCATCATGAATGAAGCCATCCATTGTATACAACTATCATGTGACCTGCTGTGATTGGTCACAGCAGGTCACATGGTACCAGCTACGGGAGCCGGTACTCGGATCTGTCATCGGCCGTGTCCGAGGTGCACGGCCCGTGACAGATCCCGCTGCTGCGCTGCTCTGCTGTGCCGCAAACTGCGCATGTGCGGGAGCACGCCAAATGGCGTGCACCCGGAATTTAGGAGCGCATTTCAAGCCGCCAAACGGCCATTGGCCGGGCGGCTAATGGTTAAAGAGTGGGCAGACCCAGAGAAAAAAACTTTTTTTCCCCGTCAGTCACAAAACAATGTTTACATTTGATAAAGATCCCCAGGCGGTTTGGAATAAATATCCCAAACTAGATGCTCGCCTATCGGAAGTGTCTCTAAGAGGTCAGCGCTTGCCTTTTGAGGACATGGGGTATTTAAAGGACTGCATGGATAAAGGAGGTGACGTAGTCCTTGCAGAGGAGAAGGTCCAGAATCTAATTAGGAGAGTGGGGGGCTCTACACAACAATCAACCAGTGTCAGTCTGAGAACTCAGTACTAGGCTTGATGGCATCGGAAATTCCGGCCGTTCAGTAGGTCAGACTCCATCTAAGGCCTTTGCAGTCCTTTCTTCTGCAACTACAGGGGCAGGAGGACCTGGACAGGAAGATATGTCTACAAACAGCAGTGAAGAGGGTATTATGGTGGTAGAGAGACCACACGCATTTAAATCAGGGGTTACTCTGGTCGTTTCCGATTTCGCAGAAGCTGACGATGGATGCGAGCAGGTGAGGCTGGGGAGCCCATCAGGGAGGGCGGCCTGCCCAAGGGGACTAGGTCTCAGAAGAAGCCCAGGCCTCTTCAAATTGGAGAGAGCTTATGGCAGAAGCAAAAGCCATTCCCTGTTTTTAAGATCAGGTGATGGGAAATCACCTCATGATCCTGCCCAACAACTAAACAGCAGTCGCATATTTAAACAAACAAGGGAACACCAGGAGTCCACCTTTTAATCAATATTTCAGACCAGATCTGCTGGTGGGCAAAGAAGAATCTTTTATCATTGTCAGTGGTTCACTTAAAAGGGGATCACAACCAAGTGGCAGATTTCCTCAGTCGCCAAGAATTGTCGCAGGAAGAATGGGAGCTGCACCCAGAAGGGTTTGCAGAGATTTCAGACCGTTTCGGGATGCCAGAAATAGATATTTTTGTATCAGCCAGGAATGCTAAAGTGGATCTTTTCTATTCACCAAATCTGTGGGATCCAGCCCTGGCAGTCGATGCTCTTCAGAATCCCTGGAATTTTGGTAAGTGCTACGCCTTCCCCCCGGTTCACCTGATCCCAGAGTTCTGAACAAATTTCTACAGGAACAGACAACGTAAATTTTAATCACTCCGTTTTGGCCCAAAAGGGTGTGGTTTTCACAACTCTTCTCCCTTTCGGCTGAACAACCTTAGTCGCTTCCTCTCAGGGAGGATCTGATGCGACGGGACTTTTCACCACCTCAAGTCAGGAAACCTCAAGTTGATAGCCTGACTTCTGAAAGAGATTTGAGGTCAAAAGGACCCTCATATAGAAAAAAGGAAAAAATTCAACTCATGGTGCTATGAAAATAATAGATCTTGAATGGACACTACAACTATTTTAGAATTCTTACAGCAAGGGCCGGAGAAGGGACTTGCTCTGAGTACCCTAAAGGTGCAAATAATGGCCCTGTCCATTTTATCTTGAATGCTCTATGCAAGAAGAACCTCTAATTATGAAGTTTTGCAAAGCAGTGAGTAAAAACAAACCGTCCAAATTCTGGAAATGTTCTAATTGGGACATGTCCGTAGCACTGAGGGGCACCATCAAATCTCTGAGCTGCTGCAAGAGGCCTCACTATGCAGGCTGACTTTTGCAGACAGTCTTCCTGGTGACCCTCACCATGGCCCGCAAAATAGGGGAGATTCAGGTTCTATCTATAAGGGAGCCCTTCTTAAAAATTATGGATGATGGAATAATTTCACAGGCAGACCCAGGCTTAACATAAACACAAACAGGCCTTGTTTGTGCTATATGCAGGGAAGCAGAAAGGCAAACAGGTTTCCAAAAACACCTTAGCTAGGTGGATATAGCAAGGGATCATGGAATGCTATGGAATCATGCAACTTCCTCCACCAAAAGTTCTAAAGTCACACTCTACTAGGGCTTTGGTGGCTATGTGGGAAGAGAAAGCAGGCGCTAACTGGGGCAAATCTGCAAGGCAGCAACTTGGTCAAGGTTCTCTACCTTTGTCCGGCATTACCGTCTGGACCTTCTTTCCAGCCAGGACCTAGCATTTGAGAGAAAAGTCCTCCAAGCAGTGGTCCCCCCCCCCTAATCTGGTGAGTACTTGTGTATCCTTTCAAGGGCTGGCCTGGAAGACGACTGGGGAAAAATCAGAGTTAGACTTACCAGTAACTCTGTTTCCAGTAGTCTGCCAGGACAGCACGTTCCCGCACTAGGTGTAAGTTGTTGGGTTTGTTATTGTTTGATATGTCTTTCAGATTTGTCCTTCGGTTCCTATGGATAACTGGACTTGGGCCGGAGGGGACCACCTTAAGAACAAGTGTTCTTAAGTGGCAATGTATTTCTTGTTTGGAGGGCAGGAGCTCAACTATCTCAAGGGCTCTCAATGAAGACTACTGGAAACAGACTTACCGGTAAGCCTAGGTCCTCTCTCATAGTCTCCTGAGGCAGAAGAACTCATAGGGACAGTAAGGAGACCAGTGCCCAAGAACATAATGAACAGATAAAAATGCCTGGTCCACAGCTTCACTCATGGAGGAAACTGTGACTTTGATTCATTACACTCCAGGGTGGTTTAGCAAGAGATGTTTTCAGATCCTGGGGAGTAAGGTAATTGAATCTACTATTTTAAATTAAATTTTTGTCTGGAATTGGGCTTTAAACAGCGCTCAGCTTTTTAATATATATTCCAAATCTAACCCTTAGATTGTTAGAAATCCACCCTGACAAGAACTTAATTTTATTCCTCTATAGGGCGTAGAACTCTCAGGTCTGTCTGCTGCCATTAGCCATTTCCTGAACTGCTTCCTCAGCTCCTTTCCCAACTCGGTGGCTCACCTCCCAGCTGATGAACTGGTCTCCAAGAAAAAGAACAAGAAGCGCAAAAACCGAAACCTCAGTAGTGCTGACAACACAGCCTGGGCCAGTGTCACCCCGCAGGAACTCTGGAAGAACATCTGCTCTGAAGCCAAAGCCTACTTTGACTTCAACCTTGAATGGTAGGTGGTACAGATGCCGCAGGCTGTCTGGTTGACGTTTTACTCATCTAATAAGTTTTAAGCAGCAGTATGTGCCTACAGTACATGGTCAATGTCATACTGGAGTAATAGCATGATTGTGTCATCAAAAGGTTTGTGGCCTATCAGTGAGAGCCAGGTTTCCTGTGGGTTTTCTGGTTTCTTCCCACAGCCACCATAAAAAAAGCAATCTTGATAGGCTTACGTAAAACTCTGTCCTAAATTGTTGTTCCAATAAGGTTACTGCTAAGTCCTTTTTTAATCTCTTCAGTGGGTAAATTACTTTTACCAGAATTCCCAGCTCAACCAAAATTTTGTGGGCATTACAAAGTCAACTGATATTGTCACACTTCTGACTAAACCTCTTTAATCTGGAACAAATGATTGTGGAGACTCACTGCTTTTGTGGAAGAGCAGTGGGTAAGTGCTGAGTGATAATATGATAATTTGTATATATAAAAAAAAAAGCCCTGGAAGCTGTATCGTGACAATGTAAAGGTTACACCTCCCAGTGTGCTTTTCTGGTTTATGGTGGTGAATAAAGAAAACCACAGTTTCATGTCAGACCCTGCAATATACTCAATTTCTGGTGTGCAGAGTGATATCAGACTTTTACATAGTGATCCATACAAGGTTTTTTGTTAAATAAAATACAGCATTTTCCTGAACTGATGTGTTCCGTACAACTTTCTAAAACACACTGGAAAACTTTTCACTTGCGCATAACTAAAATGCAAACCCATTTTTTTCTAGTTTTGGATAGACTGGTGAGGAGTTAGAACCACTGCCCAGGGTTTTATTGTCTGTTTCTCTTCTAGGGATGTTCACCCTCTTTGGTTTTCACTCACTTTCAGTAAAAAATAATCTAGTAAAAAAGTGCTGGATACAGATATACTTTTAATTTTTCAGGCAATGGCTTCTTATGTTTCCTTTATGTAGCAATCACTTTTATTATGCATACATTACATGCACAGTCACTAAGTTCTGATTGGCTGTGTGCTCAGATCTTCAATATTTCCATTTACAATCTGTCTCCTGGGTTGCAGACATGCAGCCTATGAACCCTTTCATGACCAGAGGTCATTGAAGCCTAGATGCATGGATCAAATTTAGCATATGTCAGCATGTGTTGTTTAACTTGGGATAAAGAAAATTTGCCTACCTAAATAATTTTAACCATGTTTTATAGGATATATAAGGATTTTATATAGCACTTTGTTTTCATAAATTAACCCTCTGGATTCCAGGTATGAACTTTAGTGAATAGTTAAATTGGACCGATGTAAGTATACGTGTGCCATACCTGTGGGATGCTGTCTAAGAGGAAAATCAATGTAGTAGTGATTGCTTCTGCAGTGATCACTGCTTTCTTCTGGGTTTTGTGTTGAGTGGCTTCCCTGCTGCAGAGTAACTACAGGGGATCGCTTGCTCAGTATGGGCGACTTTCACAGAATTCTTTACAATTTTTGCAAAAATTGCAAAGCTTTCTTTTATTGGACAAATTGAAAACTTGCCCCTGTCTCTCCACCTAGTCCACTCAGAAGACTCTTTGCAATCATTGAGAAAAATGCAAGGGGTTCTGTGAATGGCAGCACATCCTAAGCAAGCAAGCAGGGCCTAGAGGTATGACATATGCATTCTTACATTGGTCCAAACTAGAACAACGTGACTCTGCATTAAAATCCATGCCTGGAGTTCATCTTTAAAGTAATTTTGGTTATTTTACACATAACCATTATTAACATGTATTATTCATTTAATCATTACTTTTAATTATTTTTGTAAGATCTGTGTGAGGCATAGATGTAACCTGCTGGTTTGTTTTAAACTCTTACAACCAACTCTTCCAAAAAAAGAAAAAGTAAATTTTTTGTTTAAGTATATACTTTCTCTTTGCTTAGTGAACATGTGGATCATGCGGTGGAAGTGTACAACCTGCAGAAAATTGGCCTTCTCAGAGAAATCTCTAATAAAGTTGGCATTCAGGTAAATCTTTTATCACAGTACAGTCCTTGTTAGCCTCCCAGAAGCCTCTGGCATTTTTTGTATTTGGCATAGTAAACACAATGATTTGGAAACTCTCCATATAAAAGCAATGATATGTAAAAGTGCAGGCTTTTGTAACTATAGTCACTAGTGACTTCAACACAGCAGATCAAAAATTGCTTGGTAGATAAACGTTTGGGATATCTTCGCAGTTCCTTGACAGACTGTCATTTGACTATGGGAGAGTGCAAAATAGAAACGATTGCTAACTCAGCCAGTGTTATGATTTTATACCTGATTATTGATTCAGAAAGGCAGAATGGATGTAATTATTTTCTGAATATAATCCCTTTTTCTCTTGGTAGCAGGTATATGGTTTGGCGGTCATTTGATACTCCTAATTTCTGGGGATTGTGCAGGAGCTGGTCAGCTAGCTCTAGTTACTGTGAATGTAGGAAATGACTGCCATCCAACTTCCATTTTCAATTTTCAGGTTTTTTTTTTTTTTTTCCATTTTGTATATAATCTCAAGGCTAGCATTATAAACAGAGTTTGGCTTAGGCCGGGATTGAGCTATAGTTGAGCTATGATTAGAGTTAAGGCTGGTGGCTTATGCTGGGATTGGGCAATAGTTGGCTATGGTTAGTGTTTAAGTAGAATTATAGGTAAAACATTTTTTTTTTTCCATTTTGGATAGAGCAAGGATGAGTTATAACCCCTTTCAGATTTTTTTTTTTTTCCACCATCTGTGTCCCATTGGGGAGATTTCCTTGTACCATAGCCAAACAGAAAGTGATAGGAAATCCCTGCAAATTAAGGGAAATTTTTGGGGACCCCCAGGTCACCACAACTAGTGTCCCCATTGGAAGATTTCCCCTATATTACTTTTCTGGGGGACACTTTCAATAATAATTGTAAACAGGACAAATAGAGGGTGAATCTTCTTAATAGGGGCATAGACAGCAATTAAAAACTGACAGGTGTTCTAATTCCTCTCCACTTTATCCAAAAGTAAAAAAAAGTGTAGCCTTTAGTTATACTTTAAGCTTGGGGTTGCTAGATCTGAGAAAATGGTCATATATATTGTGTAAGCTGTATATATTTTATCACAGAATAATTTGCTTATTAGAATGTTCAGATTACACATGGATGTGCAATCGTTATTTAAAGTGTATTTTTTTTTACAGCTATATGTGTGTGTTTTAAATATGCATATTTTTCAAACAGTAGTCTTCTACTCTTTCATTGACTCTGTTCATCAGACGTACCTGGTGATCCTGTCATTCCCACTCCTTTCTTTTGGAAACTGACCACTCAAAGTAGGGAATTTTGAGGCATGCTTGCTTGGTCAGTTTACGTCCTTTTTGCTTTTTTCTCTGAGGTTAAGGACCACAGGTGGCTAAGCCTCTCAGTCCACTCCACAGCTCCTGTCCACTCCCCAGTCCAGCAGTCCAGTGAGTGCTGAAGGGGAGGAGCAAAGAGTGGTGACTGACAGTGAAGACTGATGTGATTGCTCAGTTCTTAAAGTCTTAAAGCCGGTGGGGGACAGCTGCAGCATCAGACCGATGCTGCAGCCATATAGGTGAGTATGTGTTTTTTTTTTTTTTTTTTTTTTTTATTTTCCACATTTCTTTTAACTGACCCCTGAGATAAAACATTTTATTGTTTTAAAACCTTTTTGATAGAAATGAGCAATGTAATAGAATACAGCATACATTGAGTATGATTTATGACGCAAATTAGCAACACAATTCGTTGTAAATCAAGCTGTGTTTTCTTCAGCAAACTGTCAGTGACACGTTTACAGATATTTTGCTCTGTATTTCTGGACAGCTAAGGGCAATAGTTTGCAATGGTCAAAGACAGATTAAACAAATTTACATTTTAAACAGATGCATAGTAAGGAAGTGGCCAGGGTCAGGTTTCTTTCAGCTGCAGGTGCTACTTTACAGCAGCCAAAGGCGTAATTTGTGATTTGGGCTCTAACCTTGGAACACGTTTTTCTCATATGTCTTTCTCTGTTCTGTTTAGCATTGCTTTGCCTTGAGACAGGATTAATAAATGTCCAATAAAAAAACACATGTATATGACTCAATACAAGGATGTAGAGTCACACAGTCTCCCCAATTTGTCCATACAGTGATAGGGCCTAAACAGTGAGTCCATAGATTAAACAGTCCATGAATTCCAAGTGAAAAAAAGGCACCACTGTATGCAGCTCCCCAAAGAGATAGGAATCAATCTCTGAAATACAATGAAAGGAAACAAGGGAAACAAGTCCAGCTTAGTAGTCACCCCTTGTGTCCTTAAATTGATAAATGTCCGCCATTCTATTTTGGTGAGAGTTGATCTCTGAATCATAGTTTTATATTGATATATAATTCCAGAAACAAAACCTCTGGTATGCAAAGTATTAGCAGGCAAATCAAAACCGTAATAATGGCAATTGCTGCAAGAGTCAGATGTTGCTGTGCCAGTGTACAGTCTCTCCATAAAGCATATGTAGCAATATAATTGTTGCCACTGAACCCTGAAGAATGTGGCCATTGTCCCCACAGATTTCCAGGTACAATATTGATAACCTTACTGACCCAATGTGGTTGCCATACCTGCATCCTTTCTCATATGATGATGACCATGTAACTGATGCTATTATTCTGCAAGTTACTAGTTTGCCCCATGAAAATTGGTAGAAGCCCTCTGTCCAACTGCTTTTCACTAAATGTAAAAGAGCCATATGTTTTACTACAAGGCTTCATGCACACTAGCATTTTAAGCTCCTAGAAGCTATCAACATTTTTTTTTCTGCTCCTAGAAGCTAAATAGCGTTATCCTATGTGTCCATGCACACTATCTTAGGCTTCTAGTATTTTTCAAGCATCAGTGTTTAGGAGCAGGGAGGGAGCGTTTTGCTAAATGCTAAAAAATGTTAAACGCACCTAAAACACTCCAAACGGCTTTTTTTTTCCTACATCGATTGTAAAAATGCTAATAAATGCTAGCGCTCCTAAATGCTACTTAAAGCTATTACCAGCGTTTATTAGCTTCAAAAAATGCTAGTGTGCACGGAGCCTAAATCTGTAATAGAAAAATAATGCAGCTAAATATATGGTAATAATTGTGTCTAAATGTGATTTCTCACACAAAACCAGGTCCTACTCAAAGAGTACAACTTTGACAGCCGACACAAACCAACCTTCACAGAAGAGGACATATTGAATATTTTCCCTGTGGTGAAACATGTCAATCCCAAAGCATCTGATGCTTTTCATTTCTTCCAGAGTGGACAAGCTAAAGTACAACAGGGTGAGTATCGGGACGCCATGGCAATTACTGTTGTATAGTCGGTCACTTATTTCATGGGATAGCTTTTAAAACTGTATGGAGGACCTCTGTGCTCATGATGGTGGTGAATAACACTAAAGGATTAATGCTTGGAGTGTGACTGCCATTCTTACTTCCTATATTTAGAATTTACATCAACACGAAAAGTTTAATAAATATTGATTGAGTGTAAAAAAAAAAAAAAAAAAAAATAGAATAGACTTCTGAAGTGGACTTTTTGTGAAGCACAGACTGACTGAAGACAATAGATCCACATATAATTGATGGCATCTCAGTAGAAATACTGACAGCACCTTAAAGCAGAGTTCGAGTCCAAACTAAAAAAAATAAAAGCAACTACAAAAACTTTAGCTGCTGACCTTTAAAAACCAACCACTCACATGTCCCTCAATCCAGCGGTGTCCTCCACGCATCCCATTTCACCGGCTGTACTGTGTTCCCGGTGCAGGCATCTTCAGTGTTGGAACCCGGCTGTGATAGCTTGCGGCTTCACAGCCAGGTGCCCTCTGCGCATGTGCGAATAGCGCTGCGCTTTGTGAGTGGTCACATGTCCCAGCAGACCACACGGAGGTTGGGGGAACTTCCGCTTCTGATCGCCTAGGCGCAGTGGACGTGGCAGAGAGTACCTGTCAATTTTCGGGTATCTGCGCCCCCCCCCCCCCCCCCATCCCTGCTCCCCCCGAAGGTGCCAATCCTTAATGGGGAGCAGGGAACCAGTCCTTAAAGTGAACTTCCACTTTTGTGTGGAGCTCCACTTTAATAACAGAAGAATCTGCATATTTGTATGTAGCACTACCCCCTGAAGGGTTTCTTTGATAATTTGTTTTGGGTTCCCTGTCATTCTGAACCTCTTGTGGCAAACCCAACCTCTGCTGACACCACCATGCTCCTGTGACCAAAGTAAATCACAACTGTAAAATAGATTCACACACAAGTTAGTGTAGACCAATGCAAAGTTTATGCTGGCATTAAAGGTAACTTGGTCAGAAAGAACAAAATTACATTGATATTTGCAGCAAACATAAACACCCTTGGTAATTGTGAGCAAAAGTAATGACATTCATCATAAAGCAACAATAACTGTTAGCAGGCCTGCTTTCAGAAATGATCTACTACCTCCAATCTGAGAAGACTGCTGAATCTCCAGTGAGTAGAAAACTAACAAGAAACAAGTAAGCTCACTGAGAACTACATGACAAGGATTAGATGTGAGAGCGAGAAATCTCATTGGAAATTGAGCAGTATCACTTTAAGTACACTACAGTGTCTTCTGTGCGCTCGTTTGGGCCCAGTTGGTATGAAGTTGAGTTGAGACGGTGACACACAGATAATAAAGGAAAAAGGGGAGAATTAACACTTTTCCTCCTAATGGTAGTGAATTAAAGCAGGGTCTCCTTTAAAGTACTAAACATGGGGCAGGCTTGAAGTATTGAATAGCAACAATTGGCATAAATGTCTATAGGCAAAAAACGCTCCCTTTGTACATCAAAGGCAAAGGTTAATAGTAATGGGAATCCTGCTTTGTTGAGGATGGGAGACTTGTTGTTTCAGTGGACACTGCTGTATCCTGGTCTGCAACTGTATGTCCTGCAATCAGCTTGTACAAGAAACTGCAGTGTAGATATATCTCAGCGATGGCGACTGTGAGAAGCTGAAGCAACTACATATAATGTTCACAACTATGTGTAGGTAGATAGCTGAGGTGGCAAACTGTTAGTATTCACTTGGTTAGTGGATGCATGGGTCTCTCTCAACCCATTAAGTAGTTCGGAAAGTTGTAGCGGTCTGTCTTTCTCTGCAAACCAGGTCATCCATGGACTCTCCAGCTCAGACTCGTGTGGTCAGTAGACTCTTCCTGTTCTCTCTCTCTCTCTCTCTCTCATATTCTGGCTCTGTAGCCTAGTTCAGCACTTCAGCCGCCAGCACACAACCTTCTGTTTCAGTCTCTACCCGCACTCCCCTGGCCAATCTCAGTCTTTGATATTTATATGCCCCCGCACACATGCTACCTCTTTAGGGAAATGTAGGCCCTGACTGCCCTGCTCACCAGCTGAGTCCTGCTATACAGCATACAAGTTCCAGAGGGCTGGTTTGTCCATGTCAGTGACCCAGAATGGCAGACCACTGCCATCTAATGTCCATTTTATTGCAAGTAATCACATTTCAATGGGTTATGGGCATATGAAATATGATCATAGAAGAGGGGCAACGCAAGCTCATAAAATGTGAAAGTCACATCAGAAGTGATTTCCACATATTGTTGTAATGATATACTTTGGCAGATTATGATAATTGGAATGGTGCGGTTCTCTTTTCTGTAGGGGGACTTGTTTTCCTCCTAGAATGGAAAAATATGAATAGCCGTTCTCAAGGTATAATTTTGTCTTATTATATTTTATTTCTCTCTTATTTGTATATACATTTCATGATTTGTAGGTTTCCTAAAGGAAGGGTGCGAATTAATAAATGAAGCCTTAAATTTGTTTAACAACGTGTATGGTGCCATGCACGTAGAGATCTGTGCCTGCCTACGACTGCTTGCCCGACTCAACTATATCATGGGCGACTATACTGAGGTAAATGATAGTTCCTGATGCATCATTCCATGATACTTGTACTATACTACTTTCTGTTTAGGAGAAGCAAGTGTGTAAGTTTTATCCCTAAATGTTTATGCTGGGTGATACAGAATCTACTGTAATATGGCAGAACTTTACAAGACCTTACATGCCAGTAGTTGAACTAGATGGGTATGCTTATCCTTATGGGCATACAGGAAGCTGCATGGCAAGGAGATGCCTCTTGTGGTGCTGCCTGTTTATGTTTCTGGGTTGTAAAATGAGGTGAATAATAAGACTGTGGCTCAAATCACTTTTGTGAGTTCAGTACATATTTTGTTTACCTTGCACTGTATGCACCCAAATGCTGCATGTTCTGTTCCACGTCCATTTATCTCAGCTTAAATGCTGCACTGTGCTCATGTTCACAAAAGGATAAAGCTAAACACCATGTAGACTGTTAAATACACAGCTGATGTACAGCTCCTGTACCACTACCTCCTCCCTCCTAGATTGTAAGCTCAAAAGAGTAGGGCCCTCTAAACCCTCGTGTGCTGTTTGTTGTTGCTGTACTGTTTCATGTATTGTCCCCCCCCCCCCCCCTCTATTGTACAGCGCTGAGCAAACACTTTGGCGCTATATAAGCTCGATGCAATAATAATATTACAGCGGGTAAAATAAGTATTGCACACGTCACCATTTTTCTCAATAAACAAGTTTTCTCAAGGTGCTACTGACATGAAAGTTTCACCACGTTGGTAAAAACGTATGCGATTCATACATATGAACAATCCAAAACAGAAGTTCAGAAATTAAGGTATGTGTAATAAAATGGAATGACACCGTGAAAAAAGTATCAAGAAAGCTAACTGAAATTTATTTAATACTTCCTATAAAATCCTTTGTTGATAATGACAGCTTCAAGACGCATCCTGCATGGAGACAGTGGTGTATTTGGGTTTTGTGCTGCCCTAGGCAACGCAAAAACCGTATGCCCACATGGACACCGACCAACACAACCCCCTCTTCCCCCTTCCGCGGAGAGAGAATCACATTGACCAACAACGAGCCTTCCACTACCCCCCCAGCGATAGAGAGACACTCATCTTCACAGCTCTGGAAATCCCTGGGAGCGAGAGCCAGGCTCTACATACACCATCACCCAGGCTGCAGCCTCTCTTGGATCCCACCTGGTTCCCATGATGCACATGCCCCTTCTTTCATCCCTTCTAGGGGGAGGTGATGCCCCTCTGAAAAATGCGTTGCCCTAGGAAAGCGCCTTGTTTGCCTTGTGGTAAATACACCTCTGCATGGAGAAACTGGTCGCATGCATTGCTCAGGTGTGATTTTGGTCCATTCTTATACAACAAGTCGTCAAAGCTTGAAGATTCCGTGGGCCTCTTCTATGAACTCTAATCTTTATTTCCTTCCAGAGATTTTCCATTTGATTCAAGTCAGGTGATTGGCTGGGCCATTATAGCAGCTTTATTTTCTTTCTTTGAAACCATTGAGAGTTTCCTTATCTTTGTGTTTGGAATTATTGTCTTGCTGAAATGTCCACCCTCATTTCATCTTCATCATCCTGGCAGCAGATTTTTATCGAAAATGTCTACATTTTTACATTCATCCTCCCTTCATGATATGAAGTTTGCCAGTACCATATGCTGAAAAACAGCCCCACACCATGATCTTCCCACCTCCAAACCTCACTGGTGGTATGGTGTTTTTGGGGTGATGTACAGTGCCATTCGACCTCCAAACATGGTGTGCATTATGGTATCCAAAGAGTTCAACTTTGGGCTCATCTGAGCAGACTATATTCTCCCAGTATTTCACAGGTTTGTCTAAATGTTGTGCAACAAACATTAAACGAGATTCAACATGATTTTAATTCAGCAATGGATTTTTTTGCCTGGTGAGCGTGCATACAGGCCATGGAGGTTGAGTGCATTTCTTATTGTACCTGCTAATTCCGAAGCTCTCCCTCCACAAGTATTCTTGGATCTTGGATAACTCTTCTGATAATGTTTTCAACAATAAGGTTGTAAAGGTCTTGAGAGAGAGCGCTTTGTTTTTTGTGTGACACCTTGGTAATGAATCACCTTTTTATCAGTTGAGACTGAACCACCTGATGATATTTTGCACTGACAAGGGGCAGGATTGCTTTGTAATTACTGATAGATTTCAGCCGGTGTCTTGGATTAGTATACCTTTTTGGACCTTCCTTTCTTCATGTGTTCAATACTTTTCCCCTGTGTCATTCCATTTTATTACACTTTACTTAATTTCTGAACTTTGTTTTGGTTTCTTGTATGTATGGATTGCATGGGTTGTTACCGACGTGGTAAAAATTTTGTCAATAGCACCTTTAGAAATATATTTACTGAGAAAAATGGTGACGTGTTCAATACATATTTTACCTAGCGTGTGTGTGTGTGTGTGTGTATATATATATGTATGTGTAAAAAAAAAAAAAAAAAATATATATATATATATATATATATATACATACATACACACACACACTGTTTTTAACACCCAAAGCATTTGTAATTCTATAGAGTGATATTAGATATTATTATAGAGAGGTATTGTGATTTATACACATTTCTCACACTGCACATTCAGACAGGTAACATAATGAAGCAATGGTTTTTTCTGCTTCAACAGTTCCGCTTCCTACATTAATTCTGCCTCTAGGCTCCCCATTGGACAGTTGTTAGCATCATAAGCTCTGTTCATGAGCAGGGAGCATTATTGCTAAACCAGGAAGCCACAGTGTGATTTCAAGGACTAGCAAAAGTGTGTATCACAAGAATGGAATGACATCTTTTTATAGGTAAACTATAAATCCAGAACTTTTACAACTGTGTGTTTAGCCGTTTTCCTGGGTTCCAAATTTATTATACAATTTTTATCTATTTTAACGGAGACCAGTCACCAGTTTGTACTTACCCTAACAGAACATGGGGTTCTGTAAAACAGAATGGTGGGAGATGAGTGATTTCTATCCAAGTGCAATAGCTTGCTACAGGGTCCTGCCTTTCTACTTCACTGTGGGGGGGGGGAGTGAACGAAGGGGGGGGGGGGGATTTTTCCAATGTAGCACAAAAAGTGAACGAAAATATTCACAGGATTTTTGTTTTCAAGATACTTTTTCCAATGTAGCACAAAAATGTACCCCTCTAAAAAAAAATATGGTTTTCTTTAGCAGTTTGTTCTTTGATTGTGTAAAGGTTCCTTTGTGTATTGTCTTTAAAGGCCTTAAGCAACCAGCAGAAAGCGGTTCTAATGAGTGAGAGAATACTGAGTATTGAACATCCCAGCACCATTCAGGAATATGTAAGTGTAACATAAAACCAGCCTCCTGGCCATCTTTTCCATTACCAGCCATCGTGTCATATTCTTTATTCGGTTGTGTTGGCTGACATTCATATATGTGTTTTGTTTTAGATGCATCTAGCACTGTACTGTTTCGCAAATAATCAGCTCTCCACTGCATTAAATCTGCTGTACAGGGCTCGTTACCTCATGCTGCTTGTGTTTGGAGAAGGGCATCCAGAAATGGCACTTTTAGATGTAAGTATAGCCTTCCATATACAGGATGAATTTTTGCTATTATGTGTTATTGTTTTAACTATCATTCCTCTTCTCTCTGAAATTAGTTCTGTTTCCTGTGCTGGAGCTTTCTTATGTAATGAAACCTAGGTGGAACAAGACAGAGGAGGAGATTTACTAAAACAGGAGAGTACAAAATCTGGTTCAGCTCTGCATAAAAACCAAATGGCTTCCAGGTTTTATTGTCAAATCTTAATTGAACAAGCTGAAGTTAGAAGCTGATTGGTTACTATTCGCAGCTGCATCAGATTGAGTGCTCCAGTTTTAGTAAATCTCCCCCAGATTGTCTCCAAATCATGTTTGTGATAACTTTGTGTAGTCTTATACAATTATTCCATAAAAGATAGAAGTCCAGCACTAGAACATCTTGAGATTAAAATTGCAGACTTTATTCAAGACATAAAAAGAAATCAATTACTGCAAAAGATTTACGCATTTCAGGCACCTGTATGGGAGTTAATCACATGACTAAGGCCCACACAGGTGGCTGATATGCATCAATCTTTTATAGAAATTGGTTCCTTTTTATGTCTTGATGGATTAAATTAAAGTCTGCCATTTTTATCTTAAGATGCTCTGGTGTCTGACTTCTATCTTTTATTGAATCATTGGACGGTATGTACAGTGTGTGTCCAGGCACAGACATCTGATCCTCATCCTTTTTTTTGTGTGGGATTTGGGTTGAAGGTCTACAACCTTTTTGTTTTTATAGATTTGTAAATTTTATTAATAAGCCAGATTTGTAATCTGTGTCTCTGCAGAGTAACATTGGCCTGGTGCTACACGGAGTAATGGAGTATGACCTAGCCCTGCGATTCCTGGAGAATGCTCTTACTATCAACTCCAAGTATCATGGAGCCAAGTCATTGAAGGTTGCACTCAGGTGATTGATCAGAGGAATTTCTCCCACATATATGAACAAACTGATGTTCCAAAAATACTTTCTCTTAATCGTACAGTACAGGGCACAAGTAAAGTAATTCATGCATAGGCTTGTACCTTCAGGCGATCGGACAGTGGCACATTTTAGAGGACATGCCCTCTGGGCACCTACCCTATAACTCTACCACACTTCATGAGTCTTCAGTTTTGTGCTAGTGTCTGAAGGTGATGGACCTTTTCTCCTTCACAGAGAAAATCACCCTTAGCATAAAATATATGCAAACCCTCACTTTGTAAAACAACCTATTCAGTTTAAAATAGAAATGAAATGAAAGGCAAAACATTTGTGTATACATATAAAACATTATAAATACTAAGTGATCACATAACCTCTGCTATAAGTTGCATAAGGAGTTGAAACTGCAGTGCACTGATCTTCCCACTGAATGGCTGTTCAGGGGGATGGGCATGTAAGTAGAAGTCTGATCATTGGAGGAGAGCAAGCAAAGTTTTCAGTACAGCCAGAATACTGACCACGTTGTGCTTTCATGCCTAGTATGGTCAGTTTTTAATAGGACAGCAGATAGACTGGCAGGAACACCAGGGATTTCACACAAAGGAAGAAATACAAAGAGAACAGGATGCTTTTTCATACAATTACATGAGATTGCAGGCACTTATGAGGAATATGAAATGTTGGGTTTACGTTTTCTTTAACTAGTTTATTTTTCTTTGTGTAGAAATGCCAACATAGAAGTAGTGTATTTGGATTGGCACAACTGCAATAAAACCTTAGGAGCACTACTCGAACCTCACGCTGTGGGGACGGCTTTTTCAGAGACTGCATTGCATCTCATTTCTTGGATAAAGCCTCTGCGCAGGGTGTCACACAGATGTTCCTCCTCAGCAGCCACCTTTGAGCGGGGCCTTAATTTGGTCTCGGTTTTGGAGTATTCTCCCTTTTGAATTTTTCTAATGGATTCCCTTAACGCTTCTTGCATGCAAGGTTGTCTTTTGGTTGCCATTACTTTGGCTCTCAGGGTTTCGGAGTTGGCTGTGCTTTCCTTCAAGGGAACCTTTCCTAGTTCTTCACCAGTATAATGTGGAGTTGAGGCTGTACAACATACAAAGCATAAGATAGTAAGGTGGATCACAAGGCATAACAACTCATATAGTATTTGTAATACAGAAAGCAAGCCTAGTATTGCATCAAAAAACAAATGGTGACAGAGTTTAGGATGTAGAGATATGATAAGGTGCACAATACACCCCTGTAACACCAAAAGAAATAAAGATGCGTGTTCCTCATCAAGCTGATCATACTTTGTACAGTGTTGAGCCTCTGGTGGTGAGCAGTGGACCCAGAAAAGGCCTATGCTGTCCCAGGGTATGCAGTGTATGTACAGAGGAAGCTAAGAAACTCCAGGCAAGCCATGATATGTCCTATGATCATTTTCTAATTTAACTAAGGTAGTTTTTGTTCCACATGAATTGACATTGTGTTTCCATCTTTTTTTCCTAATTCTAAAAATTCTAAGGAGAAGGTGCTCAACTCTTTAGATGGTGTTCAAGGTGTTCGAGTTTATCTTAAGTCTTCTGCTTCCTTTTTGACAGTCTCATTCCCTGTTTCTTTTGCCTGAGGGTCCTCACAAGAGTCTAGCTGCTTCCTAATCCACTAGTCTGCTTTTTTATTTATTCCTATGGGTAGGCATATAATAAGGCTTACCTGTAGGTAAAGTAAATGGCTCCTAAACATTAGGAGATATTTACTTTAATGGCAGCCAGTGATGTCACTGGCACATGCACACTGCATTCTGAATGCAGCATGCGCAGGAGTAATGTCATTGCGGCTCGGCCATTCAAACGACCGGAGTACGCAAACCCAGAAAGAAGACTGGGTGAAGGTGGATGCCCTGTCAGTGGTCACAGCGTGCCACTGGAGGGTTTAATTTTAAGGCAAGTCTGGCACAATGTGCTAATATGCAATGCATACTAGAACATTGTGACAATATTTACTACCACTTTAAGGCCCATTCCACCAGGAGTGCCAGTGCTTCCAGGGCTATTCAGCATCAAGACTCTGTTCAAGTTTGTAAGGCTGCTACCTGGTCTTCTCTTCATATATTTACGAAGTTCTACCAGATTGATATTTATGCCTCCACTGAAGCCATTTAAGAGTCTTGCCGGCGACTTTCTAGTGGGGGGGGGGTTCCCCCTTTGCTGTTGGGGTTATCGCGTGTGTTTGCAGTGTTGCCCTTCTCTCATGTTTAGTGCTTTGGGACATCCCAAATAATCATACATATTCATGACTAAAAAATTTGAATTTTTGGTTTACCTATAATATTTTTTTTTTCTTTTTGGAGTACATCCCAGGGTACAGAGATCATTCCCTTCTAGTTTGTGTTCCCCATTGCTTGCTACCAAAACTGAGGCTCAGTCAAGCTTGGAGGGGTTACATCTTGGTGGGGATTCCTGCTTTTATTTGGCCAATGCCCATTTACCTGAAGATGCCAGCATAACCCAAGTAGTCATAAATAGTAACTCCTCTGTGTCCTAGGATGTACTCCAACAAACATTTTTTACAAGTAAACCAAAAAAATCCTCATTTTCTCACCAACCAGTAGATGAGCTTTAAAAAAAACCCTTGTTGACCTCCGTAGAGACACTGTGAAGCAATCCTCAAAGTTCAATTCATTGTCTTGGCAGCTCCTCTCACGCTGCACCCTCCTTCAAGAACATCTGTTATGTGTTTATATTAGAAAATGGAAGACCGCCAAGTTACTACTAAGAGGGGGGGAGCAGGGGGAGCTAAGCTAAGAGGACTTGAGATACTTAAGTGCTTAATTTTGAGGATGAATTGCCCTACAGTGCCTGGAGCTACCAAGGTTTGTAAGGACTTCCTTTTAATGCTCAATTATTGTTATTAAGAATTTTTATCTATCATGTCCATAACCAGGCCACAGGTACTTTTAAGTTACTGCTAAAGTGAAGGTGCAGTGTTTATTAATCTATAACAACCTTTCTACAAATGATCTGAGACCAGTCCAAGTGGAACGTGCTATATGTATTCATTAGATTTGATGTTTTCTGCTGCCTCAGGCAGTCGTTTATTTAAGGTTTTACACTGAATAAAGCCCAGTAGTTCTCAGTTGATTAAAGGCTTGTAAATCACTTAATCAGCCAGAGTGCTGGCAACTTTGCTGACTTCTTGCTATATGTTCAAGCAGTCTGTTTTTTGGTTAGCGATGCCCTTTGAACCACATAGTGTAACTTTTGCATACTTCAACACTGTGCCTCAAGTTGTACTTAATTCTACTTCGCTCCACAATAACACTTTAGGTCCATGCCTCAACACCATCTTCTGTAATAATACTAGCATTTTTTTTCCTTTTCTTTTGCACCCCCTGTTATATGTATATATGTGTGTATATATGTGCAGTTCGTTTCATATCTCCATTTTTATCTTAATGTTTAAAATGCTTTCTTTTCAGTCACCATCTTGTAGCACGAGTTTATGAAACTAAAGGGGAATTTCGATCTGCCTTACAGCATGAGAAGGAGGGATACACAATATACAAAAACCAGGTCAGTAGTTGTAAATTACCCTGTATATTGTCTATATGGTAAGCTATTTAAAGGATCACTCTGTAGACCAAATGGTAATTTGGCACCATGCAGATATAGACTCTACTACAAGTAGCAAAGTACCTACTGATCCCTACAATGACAATTTGCACTTTTTTGCCTGTGTTGGGTTTTTGGCCTCCAGTGTCTCCAATCTTATACTTAGGTGAATGTGAGCAAGCTGGTTCTGCCTTAGCCTGGTCATTATCATCATTCTCTGTGGGCTGGCCTGAGTCAGACCTTACTGATTTGTCTTGTCACCTTGTAGACATAGTTCCTTGTAATAGAATCAGTGGTTCTGAAGGCTATGGACACTGTCAACAGGCTGTGCAGTGCAATGTTGGCATTGCACAAAATAACAGGTTCATCGTTCCTGTTATCAAAGCAACCCATATGTAACTATTAAAATATTCAGATTTTAAAGCCAATATACTGTTATCCTTTTTCCCAATGTGGTGGCATGATTACTGTATGTGATCTTGGCACCTAGTTTGCTTGAGGTGGTGTTTATGGCCGTGCTAGAAAAAAGTGAGATCAGAATTGCTGACTTTGCCATTACATTAGCTTGCTTTGCTTGTGCTGTTTTTAAAGCCCATCGTCTAAAAATGTGCATTTTTTTCTCCATCCAGCTGGGGGAGCAGCATGAGAAGACCAAAGAAAGCTCCGAGTACTTGAAGTACCTGACCCAGCAGGCTGTAGCTTTACAGAGGACAATGAATGAGATTTACAAGAATGGATCCAGTGCCAACATAATGCCTCTCAAGGTGTGTGAACCATGTCTCCTGTGGATTTTACAGAAAGGCTTTCTGATTGTAGAAAACAATGAATGTTTGTCACAGTCTTGAAGACTGCTTTGTCTACAAAGTCAAGGAGCTTTAACAGCATTATTTCAAATTTGTTAGGTCACCTGAGCTCTATTTTGTCATTTAGTCATCTTGTTGTTTATAGAGTGACTTGAAAATTATTATATAATTATTATAAAGATAATTTATTGCCTTTCAATAGAAACTACTGCAAATGCGTTTATTTAGCAAAATTATTTGTTATGCAAAGTGCTGAAACCTCTAGCAATCAGATTGTTTACTTTAATCCGATCCATGTTAAAATGGTGTTACTGCCTAATTTACTATTGTACAGTCTCATCTGAGAACTTTGGAATAGCTGTGTTGGGATGAAAGAGGGATCTGCTAGGTTATAGAAAATATTTTCAAAAGTTTGTTTTATGCTGAACAAGCCAAGATATACGTTCTGCCCTACACTACCAATGGTTGACAGTAGGGGTACCTCCAAGTATGGTTTGCTTAATCACATAAGTAGGGAGTCTCCTGCAGTAAGCAGATGATATCACTCTTATGGCTAGTACACACATGGAGAAAATAGGACGAAAGAGCATCCGTTGTTTTTTTTGAATACTAGTTTCATGTCAAACCCAAGGGGAATTACGAACGGTACGAAAATGTATTCCACAGAATGCAATTTTCCCATACATGGCAACGTTCTATCATACAATAGGAAGTGATATGACTACATGTGACCTCTCTTGTAGCCATACAGATATACAGAGATATATAATATGTTTTTTTCCCTTTTTGATTACATTTTTCAGTGTAAAAAATACTTGTTTTCGTTGCCTTTTCTTCCGGTTCGTTCTTTCGTTTCCATTCATGTGCTGTCTTGTACACTTGAATTCTTTTTTACAAACACCATGCTAATTGCCCGATAATCATTAAATGTTATCTAAAGACAAAACTTTTCACTCATGTTCCTTTCGTTTGAACAGTCCTGATCGGCTGTTGGATGCTGTGTACTAATTGGTAGATTACCGAAAGATTGCTCGGATTGCAGTTATTTTCATACGATTTTCTCATGTGTACTGGGCATTATGTTCAGAATGAATTTTGGTTGCTTGGAGTTACTGCATTTTTGTTGTTTGCCATGTTGACATTAACCTGACCTGGCTGCCACAAGTGCAGACGCCTTTTAGCATCTGCACGTTGCTGTGTTTAATCTTTAGATTACTCCCAGTGTCCTGCTGGACACCTTTGAATTAACTTCTGCTGCCTTTCTTCTAGCTTGAAATGCTTGAGCAGGTGGAATTCTCTCCCCTTTTCTAATCAGAAGGAAAGAAACTCCTGAGCAGATGAATCCTGCCTTAATCCACCCAAAATATGGAACTTATTTAAATAAATCCAAATAGGTCTCCATGATTCTGACTCCAACCTAATTATGTAACCTTGCAGTTCTGTATATAGATGTGTTTTTTTCTACAGAATTTGCCACCACAATTTCAGGACATTTCTTAAAGGAAATTTGTTGAAGATGAACACATTGCTGACCCCTCCTTTTGAAAGGATTCCTGGTTGTCATGCTGACCCTTCTGCTTTGTATTTGAGTTACTGACAAGAGACAAGCTTGGTGATTTTGGAGTTTGACTAATCTAGAACAAGCATACAAATGAGGAAAGTCAAAGTATTGACACCAGAGGGTCAGCATGAAAGGAGGTCAATGGTGGCAATTTGCATGTTTTTGTTACATTTACTTAAAATGTGATAGTTTTATGAGGAATGTAGCAGTGCTTTTTACTTTTTTTTTTTTTCTTGTTTCCCTTTTTCAGTTCACAGCTCCCAGCATGGCCAGTGTCCTGGATCAGCTCAATATCATTAATGGAATCCTCTTCATTCCTCTCAGGTGCCTGACATTCTCAGTTACACCATTTATGTGAATCCATATGTAGCTCATAGAAATAATGGGAGGTGGCAATCATAGATGGGCTGAAGGAAGGATAGATATGCAGGGGAAGGAAATTTTTCCAGATGTTCACTGGGGAACAGAGCTGAGATATGATCCACTTCCCAAAGGAGTATAGAGACACTAGGAAAACCACGGATATTGCTTCCCTCATTGTGGGCTTATAATGTGCATCCCTAATTCCAAAAAGAAGATACACTATATTGCCAAAAGTATTGGGACACCCCTCCAAATCATTGGATTCAGGTGTTCCAATCACCTCCATGGCCACAGGTGTCTAAAATCAAGCACCTAAGCATGCAGACTGATTCTACAAACATTTGTGAAAGAATGGGTCGCTCTCAGGAGCTTAGTGCATTAAAGCGTGGTACTGTAATAGGTTGCCACCTGTGCAATAGTCCATCCATGAAATTTCCTTGCTATTAATATTCCACGGTCAACTATTAGTGGTATTATAACAAAGTGGAAGCAACTGGGAACAACAGCAACTCAGCCATAAAGTGGTAGGCCCACGTAAAATGACAAAGCAGGGTCAGCACATGCTGAAGCGCACAGTGCACAGAAGTTGCCAACTATCTGCAGAGTCAATAGCTAAAGACCTCCAAACTATGTGTGGCATTCACATTAGCACAACAGTGCATAGAGAGCTTCATGGAATGGGTTTCCATAGCTGAGCAGCTGCATCCAAGCCTTACATCACCAAGTGCAATTTAAAAGTGTCGAAGCCACTGGACTCTAGAGCAGTGGAGATGTGTTCTCTGTAGTGACGAATCACACTTCTCTATCTGGCAATCCGATGGATGTTTCTGGGTTAGGCATTTTCCAGGAGAACAGTACTTGCCTGACTGCATTTTGCCAAATGTAAAGTTTGGTGGAGGGGGGATTATGGTGTGGGGTCGTTCTTCAGGGGTTGGGCTTGGCCCCTTAGTTCCAGTGAAGGGAAGTCTTAAGGCATCAGCATACCAAGACATTTTGGACAATTTAATGCTCCCACCGTTGTGGGAACAGTTTGGGGATGGCCTGTTCCTGTTCCAACATGACTGCGCACCAGTGCACAAAGCAAGATCCATAAAGACATGGATGAGCGAGTTTCGGGTGGCGGAACTTGAGTGGCCTGCACTGAGTCCTGACCTCAACCCAATAGAATACCTTTGGGATGAATTAGAGTGGAGACTGCAAGCCAGGTCTTCTTCCCGACATCAGTGCCTGACCTCACAAATGCACTTCTAGAAGAATGGTCAAACATTCTCATAGACAAACTCCTAAGCCTTGTGGACAGCCTTCCCAGAAGAGTTGAAGCTGTTGTAGCTGCAAAGGGTGGGCCAACTCAGTATTGAACCCTACGAACTAAGACTGGGATGCCATTAAAGTTCATGTGCGTGTAAACACAGACGCCCTAATACTTTTGGCAATATAGTGTATATCCAGGTTTTAGAATAGCATATGCTCAGACAAGAATGTGACGACATTCCTCTCCCAAAACTCCAGCAACTGGTCTCCTCAGATCCCATATATTTACAGAGTGTTGTTAAAACAAGAGGGGATGCTGCACTGCTTTAAGAAAAAGAGAGGAAGGCGCCTCTAAGTGTAGTATTGACAATTTATTTAGTAAACAATGGATAAATTGCACTTACAAGATAAATAGTTAAAAGGACTCATTATGTGTTAATTAGATCAAGGTGGGACATCCAGCAGCAAACTCTGTCTATAAGATCAGAAAGTAGAGTCCAGGATGTGCCTGTGCATCAAAAGGAAGCTAGGAAGAGCAGAGTTGGATGTAGGAGGTGAAGGGGGCTGTAATGCATTTCGGAGCATGCTTTATAGGCTCCTTCTTCAGACCAGAGCCCCAGTAGAACCCTGACATTTTTATAGTGTGAAGGGAATGGGAGGGAGGCAAGTAGTTCCTGGGTCCTAAGGACCTACATGTTTTCCTGCATCGTACAGGAATTAATACAGGTATAAAAAAAGATATAAAAAGAGAAATAAAAACACACGAGAGAATAGCTCTAATGCTTTTGGGTTAAAAAGTATACGAGTGTGTATGTATACATATAATAACATATATCTAAAATTGAGTATTCGAAAGAAGGGAAATAGAAAATGACAAATTAAATCTAAAAATAAATAGAACAATGGCGGTGAAAATAAATGTTAATAATAATGAATAAATCAATGAGATAATGAAAATGGTAGATTATTGTACCATAAATAAAAAATAGAAATAAATATAAAAGCAAGATTAAAAACAAAGTCAGTGGATTTATCGTGGCATTCAAGGAAATGTCTCTATAAGGCGCTGGTGCTCACCAAAACGTTTACGAAGGGTATGTGTGGTTCTACCCACATAGTTCAGACCACAAGGACAAATTAGACAATAGGCCACGTATTCAGAAGAGCATTTGTAAAATTCCTTAATCAGATATGATAACCCTTTGACAGTGAACTCCTTTTGTCCATGATGAATAAACTGGCATGTCTTACATAAGGGTTTTTTTGCACTGATACATACCAACAATAGGGGAAAGGGTGAGAGGAACTGTGTTCTTTCGCTTATTTTTAAGTTTGCTGGGTGATATTTTCCCTTTAAATTGGGAGTTTCATATCAGATTAACCACTTGCCTACCAGGCACTTATACCCCCTTCCTTACCAGGCCAATTTTCAGCTTTCAGCGCTGCCGCACTTTGATTGACAATTGCGCGGTCATGCAAACATTGTACCCATATGAAATTTGATCATTTTTTTCTCACAAATAGAGCTTTCTTTTGGTGGTATTTAATCGCCACTGGGCACTTTACTTTTTGCGCTATAAATTAAAAAAGTGCAAAAAATTTGAAAAAAAAAAAAAAAAGTTTCTTTGTTTCTATTATAAAATTTTTCAAACAGGTATTTTTTCTCCTTCACTGATGTGCGTTGATGAGGCAGCACTGATGGGCACTTATAGGCGGCACTGATGGGCACTGATAGGCGGCACTGATGGGCACTGAATAGGCAGCACTAAAGGGCACTGATAGGCAGTACTAATGAGGTGGCACGGATAGGCGGCACTGATAGGCAGCACTAATGAGGTGACACTGATGATGGGTACTGATAGATGGCACTGACTGGCATCACTGCTGGGCACTGACTGGCGGCACTGACTGGCTGGCACTGACTGGCAGCACTGCTGGGCACACTGGTGGGTGACTGGTGGGCAGCACTGGTGGGTGGCACTGCTGGGCTGCACTGGTGGGTGGCACTGCTGGGCTGGCACTGGTGGGCAGCACTGGTGGGTGGCACTGGGGCACAGGTGGGTGGGCACTGGGCACTTCTGGGCACAGGTAGGTGGGCACTGGTGGTGGCACTTCTCTGGGCACAGGTGGGCAGAGGGCACAGGTGGGTGGCAGTGCTGGGCACAGGAGTGGCACAGTGTGTGGCACTGCAGAGTGGCACAGGTGTGTGACACTGCAGAGTGGCACAGGTGGGTGACACTGCAGAGTGGCACAGGTGGGTGACACTGCAGAGTGGCACAGGTGGACACTGCAGAGTGGCACAGGTGGTGACAACTGCACTGCACAGGTGGTGCACTGCAGGTGGGCAGGTGGGAGACACTGCAGAGTGGCACAGTGGGTGCAGCTTGGCACAGGTGGGTGCTGGGCACAGGTGGGCGGAGCTAGTGGGCGCACTGCTGGGCACAGGTGGGCGGAGCTATGGGCGCACTGTGGGCACAGGTGGGCGGAACTTGTGGGTGGCACTGCTGGGCACCGATCATCAGGGCACTGATCATCAGTGGCCCTGATGATCGGTGCCGATCCTCGCTCTGAGAACTGCCGGTTCTCGGCAGTACTTTCCTCACGATCTGACAGCGTGAGGAAAGTGCAGCCGAGAACCGGCACTTGCATTTCCCTGTGATCAGCGTGTCATTGGACACCGCTGATCACGTGGTAAAAGGCCGGTATGATCGGCCTTTTACCACATCTCGTGATCAGCTGTGTCCGTAGGACACAGCGATCACGGAGATCGCCGGGTGCGCGCCCCCTGGGGCGCGCAGGAGAGCGCGTTCTAGGGGGACGTCATATGACGTCCACTCATAACTGGCCGGCCGCAGTTTAGCCGTCATTTGGCTATCTGCGGTCGGCAACTGGTTAAGGAATTTTACACATGCTCTTCTGAATACGTGGTCTGTTGTCTCATTTGTCCTTGTGGTCTGAACTATGTGGGTAGAATCACACATACCCTTCGTAAACGTTTTGGCGAGCACAGGCGCATCCTGGACTATACTTCCTGATCTTATAAACAGTTTGCTGCTGGATGTCCCACCTTGATCTAATTAACACACGATGAGTCTTAACTATTTATCTTGTAAGTGCAATTTATCCATTGTTTACTAAATAAATTGTCAATACTGCACTTAGAGGCGCCTTCCTCTCTTTTTCTTGTTACTGCATTAGAGCCTTGCTTCCACTCTAAGAGCTGCCTCAGTGTTACTGCTCCCATCCATCCATCCCTGATATCCATCTGGCACCTTTATCCTACAGCTACAGAGGTTGGGCTCCAACAAGCGCGCCCTATATAATATACATACACTGTTTTAAGCCCTATCCCAACTTTTTGGAATTAGGATTGTACTTTTCCAGATTTTTGTTGCTCTGTCTCAACTTAATTGAGATGTATTGCTGCCATCAATTTCAAAATTACCTTATTTTTTTCTTAAAATGGTACATTTTCTTAATTTAAACATTTGATATGATTTCTATTGTGAGTAAAATATGGGTTTATGAGATTTGCAGATAATTGCATTTTGTTTTTATGCAGATTGTACACGGTGTCCCGACTCTTTTTTTTGGAATTGGGGTGTATCTTTTTTTTTTTTTTTTTTTTTTTTTTTGAACAGAATAGGGAAGGGTTTACCTGTTGGGTTTTTTTTGCCATCTATGTCCCATTGGGAAGAATTCCCTTTAACAACTGTCCTGTACATACAACAGGGAGTGAGGAAAAAAAAATCTCAAAGTGAGGTAAAGCCACTAATTAAAGATTTACTCCCTGTACTGGTGAAAACTCAATATTTTGGATTTTTTCCTCACTTTCATTTCTAGTGGCCATGGTCACTGGGGCAAAGAGAATAAATCTAAGCGGGGACACAGCCAAAGAAAAAAGAAAAACTGGCAGGGGTGCTAGCACCACACCAATATAAAAAAAAAGTATTGACCTTGGTTTATATACACTTGAAGGGTTGGTGTGCACTCAAAAGCAATTAAAATGCAATATTTTTCCCTGCTTTTAAAGAAATACAGCTTGAATTTGAAATGTTTAGAAGAACTTTGGTGACTTAATAATATATTTAGTAATATAAATTCACATACAGTGCCTTGAAAAAGTATGCATACCCCTTGAAATTTTCCACATTTTGTTATGTTACAACCAAAAACGTAAATGGATTTTATGTGATGGATCGCCATATACAGTTGTGTTCAAAATAATAGCAGTGTGTTGAAAAAAGTGAATAAAGCTCAAAATCCTTCTAATAGCTTTTATTTCCATACACACAAATGCATTGGGAATACTACACATTCTATTCCAAATCAAAAGATGAAGAAAAATATATCAAATTTGTGGTGGTCCTCTAAAAATATTGAAGAAAAGTGAATATTAGACTGTTCAAAAAAATAGCAGTGTTTGTATTCTTCTTTACAAACTCAAACATTCACTATATAAACTGAAAAATGTTTGAAGATTTTGCTTTCCTTTGAATCACTTAATTAATATTTAGTTGTATAAGCACTGTTTGTGAGAACTGCTGTACATCTGTGTTGCATGGAGTCAACCAACTTCTGGCACCTGTGAACAGGTATTCCAGCCCAGGATGATTGGACTACATTCCACAGTTCTTCTCTATTTCTTGGTTTTGCCTGAGAAACTGCATTTTTTATGTCACCCCACAAGTTTTCTATTGGATTAAGATCCGGGGATTGGCTGGCCACTCCATATTGTCAATCTTGTTGGTCTGGAACCAAGATGTTGCACGTTTACTGGTGTGTTTGGGGTCATTGTCTTGTTGGAACACCCATTTCAAGGGCATTTCCTCTTCAGCATAAGGCAGCATGACCTCTTCAAGTATTCTGATGTATTCAAACTGATCCATGATCCCTGGTATGCGATAAATAGGCCCAACACCGTAGTATGAGGGAACATCCCCATATCATGATGCTTGCGCAACCATGCTTCACTGTCTTCACAGTGTACTGTGGCTTGAATTCAGTGTTTGGGGGTCGTCTGACAAACTGTCTCCGGCCACTAGACCCAAAAAGAACAATCTTACTTTCATCAGTCCACAAAATGTTGCGCCATTTCTCTTTTAGGCCAGTCAATGTGCTCTTTGGCAAATTGTAACCTCTTCAGCACATGTCTTTTTTTCAACAGTGGGACTTTGCGGGAGCTTCTTGCAAATAGCTTGGCTTAACATAGGCGTCTTCTAATTGTAACAGTACTCACAGGTAACTTTAGACCTTCTTTGATCTTCCCGGAGCTGATTGTTGGCTGAGTCCTTGCCATTTTGGCTATTCTTCTATCCATTCGAATGGTAGTTTTTTCGCTTTCTTCCACGTCTTTCAGGTTTTGGTTGCCATTTTAAAGCATTTGCGATCATTTTAGCTGAGCAGCCTATCATTTTCTGCACTTCTTTATATGTTTTTTCCCTCTCCAATCAACTTTTTAATCAAGGTACGCTGTTCTTCTGAAAAATGTCTGGAATGACCCATTTTCCTCAGAATTTCAGAGAGAAATGCACTGTAACCAGCATGTACAAGATTTGCTGCCTTCCTTCCTTAAATAAGGGCAATAATTGCCACCTGTTTTTCAAAGCATGAATGACCTCACTAATAGAACTCCACACTGCTATTATTTTGAACATGCCCCTTTCAATTAGTGATTCAATTACACAGAATCAGCAGCATGCATGTCATGACTGTTAGGTCTGTTGGATTTCTATTACTCTACTACACCTGCTAGTAAATTATTTGCCATGTAGAAATATCATTTCTACCAAAAACAGTGATTGATCAGGTTAGTGATGTCTGACTGCTATTATTTTGAACACAACTGTAATTGTCAAGTGGAAGTAAAATGATAGTTTTCAAAATGTTTTACAACTATCTGGAAAGTGTGGCATTCATTTGTGTTCAGCACACTTTACTCTGATACCCCTAACTAAAATCTAGTGGAACCAATTGCCTTTAGAAGTCACCTAATTAGTAAATAGAGTCTACCTGTGTGTAATTTAATCTCCGTATAAATACAGCTTTTCTGTGAAGCCCTCAGAGGTTTGTTAGAGAACATTAGTGAACACACAGCATCTTGAAGGCCAAGGAACACACCAGACAGGTCAGGGATAAAGTTGTGAGGAAGTTTAAAGCAGGGTTTGGTTATAAAAAAAAATATCCCAAGCTTTGAACATCTTACGGAGCACTGTTCAATCCATAATGCCTAAATGGAAAGAGTATGGCACAACTGCAAACCTATAAGGACATGGCTGTCCATCTAAACTGACAGGCCAGGCAAGGAGAGCATTAATCAGAGAAGCAGCCGAGAGGCCTATGGTAACTCTGGAGGAGCTGCAGAGATCCGCAGCTCAGGTGGGAGAATCTGTCCACAGGACAACTATTAGTCATGCGCTCCACAAATCTGGTCTTTATGGAAGAGTGACAAGAAGAAAGCCATTGTTGAAAGAAAGCCAAAAGAAGTCACGTTTGCATTTTGGGAGAAGCCATGTGAGGGGGGACAGCAAACATGTGGAAGAAGGTGCTCTGGTCAGATGAGACCAAAATTGAACTCTGGCCTAAAAGCAAACCACTATGTGTGGTGAAAAACTAACACTGCACATCACCCTGAACACACCATCCCCACCGTGAAACATGGTGGTGGCAGCATCATGTTGTGGGGTTGTTTTTCTTCAGCAGGGAGAGGGAAGCTGATCAAAGTCGATGGGAAGATGGATGGAGCCGAATACAGGACACTCTTAGAAGAAAACCTGTTTGTCTGCAAAAGACTTGAGACTGGGGTGGAGGTTCACCTTCCAGTAGGACAATGACCATAAACATACAGCCAGAGTTACAATGGAATGGTTTAGATCAAAGTATATTCATGTGTTAGAATGGCCCAGTCATAGTCGAGACCTAAATCCAATTGAGAATCTGTGGCAAAACTTTGAAAATTGCTGTTCACAGACGCTCTCCATCCAATCTGACAGAGCTTGAACTATTTTGCAAAGAAGAATGGACAAAAATGTCACTCTAGATGTGCAAAGCTGGTAGAGACATCTCCAAAAAGACTTGCAGCTGTAATTGCAGCGAAAGGTGGTTCTACAAAGTATTGACTCATGGCAGCGGAGTACAAATGCACACCACACTTTTTAGTTATTTAATTGTAAAAAAAATTTGAAAACCATTTTACCATTTTTTTCCTTCACACTTCACAATTGTGTGCCTCTTTGTGTTGGTCTATCACCTAAAAAACATTCATGTTTTTGGTTGTAACATGACAAAATGTGGAACATTTCAAGTGGTATGAATACTTTTTCAAGGCACTGTAGCTGTAAATGCAAGTAAACACTGCAATGACTAATGTACAAAAGCACATGACACCTAAAACAGATAAATGCAGATTTCACCTGTAGGCTTTTCCTTTCTGACATTGTTATTGTCATTATAGTCAAAAGGACCTGGAGAATTTGAAAGCTGAAGTCCAGCGACGTCAGCAGTTACAAGAAGCCATCAAAGGAGCCGATAATCAGGAAGAAAAAGAATTAACAGAAGCAAGCAAAGCTAGCACTGATACAGATGAGACTGTCCAGACTCAAAGCTCTGCCTAGCCCTGATCCCTGTTCTTCTCTCTACTCTAACACACTGTATAGAAGATTAACCCCCTGGGGGGAGGTTGTCACCAAGGCATGTAGATGTAAAAAGGAAAAAAAAAAAAAAACAAATACAAAAGGACATGGTTGCAATTTTATTGCACAGATACACATGCTAATCATATACAAAGCAAATATTGATCTGTGAATCATCAGTGTAAAGGCTCTCAGTGGGCTTCTGTCTGCTGCAATGAGGCCCTTCCGTCCCTAAGTGACTGCTCATGGGAGATTTGGGGCTCCTTTCAGCCCAGGTTGGGACTTCAATGTCTGTATGTTGGTGTGTGTTTGGAAAAGTCCATTTCTTCATTTTATGGTTTAACTTTAAAGGTATGGCTCTGTTTTAAAGGTGAGTGAACTTTTCTCAGGTCGTTTCTTAAAGTAGATGTGCAAAAGAGCCCCTGTAAGTTATTAGAAGACAGACTCCTAAACTCCGGGCCATGGTGCTGTGTTCTGAGCCAAATGATGCAGCTCACATCCCCAGACCTAAGCCATACACAACATGGGAAAACAAGCCCCTACACCATAATTCCACAGCACATTTAGATGAAAAGACATGGATGTTGTATTTTTCCTGGGACAGTTCTTTTAATTTAGGGGATGAAATGGTAATTTTGTTTTTCAGGTTTTTTTTTTTTATTGAAGACTTTCATGTTTTATATATCTGTTATAGTGTTCCTCTTTATTTTTAATGGTGATACTGTGATACATTATCACATAGGACTGCATCATTTGAGCGTTGTTTTGTTTTTTTGTTTTTTTTTTTTTGTTTTTCAAATGCTTTCCAGATTATAAATCCCTCTTCAGATCCAAAGATACTAAACAACATACATCCATTCTTCTGTCACCCACAGACAAGTACCCGAATGTAAATGCAGATTATGGTCACTGTGCTGTATTTTTGGTGAAAAATACAATGCTTACAGCAATGATACTTTGTCTCACACAAGCTTCTATTCACCCCCTTTGTGAAAGACTAGACTGACTATGGGCATGTGTCCTTAGAAGGTGCTTCCTACATATCACCATTATTTCTTTATTGGCTTCTTCTCGAATAAGTGTTTCTCTCATTGTACACCCTCCTGCAGTTCAAAAGAATCTATGGACCATTGTGTGGTAATTTAATTAATGAAACCCCAGTCGGACTACTTCAGGAGCATATACATTTCCTCTATATTATGAATTTCTGCTTTTATTAGGGCTCTAAAGTTGTTTGGTCATTTGGGTAAATAAAGCAGCATTTGATTGTAGCTCCCATCTTCATACTCAACTTTGTCAAACCTCAGATTTCGCGATTTCTTTTTTTTTTTTGTACTAACGTAAGAATTTAGTGTTCTCTCGTGTTCTAAGTCTGCTCCATCCCATGAGGCGAAAAGTCAAATCTTTTTATTGGGTAGGCTAATTATTTAACCTTTTGGTTTATTTAGGCTTCCATGAATTTGCACACTGAAAGGATTGTGGATTACAGCAAATTACAGTTATTAAATAGTCTGAGGTCAGGTCCAGTAATGGTTCCTGTAGAATGGAAGTAGTATATACGTTGGCGCTATGGAGGGACAGAGATGACATTTAAACCTTTCTTGCGGAGCTTGGCAGGAGATTAAACTTGCCAATCTATGAAATTGATGTTAATCTTGATCTAACCAAGACTTTAGTTTTCCTAAAAGTGTTATAAGGATCATATTTTATTTCTTTTAAGTTATGTTTTTTCCCATGTGTTTTCCAGCCAATCGTTAGATCTTGAGTTATATATTTTTATTTTTTAGTTCTTTTGATTTTTTTTTTTTTTTTTTTTTTAAATGACCTGCACTGCAAGAGAGTTTAAAGCCAATTCAGTTGTGGCTAACTTGTATTAGGGATCAGAACTTCTCACCGCTAGGCTGCCATTATATGCTTTCTGTCACCAGTGGATCAGGACAGAGCTTAGTGGGAGCCCAACAATTACTGCTATCCTCTGATCCTCATCTGTCATCATTGAAATGCTGCTCTATACTATTTCATGGTAATTCTTTTGGACAAAATAACCTGTACTTTACCAAACCATGATACATAAAATCGCTGTTGTCATTTGTCCTAAACATCATGTTCCTAAAATCTGAGAATTTTATCATTTAATAAATTAATGACAATGCATTATTTTGCTGCGTTTTTATTTTTATTTCAGTAAAAATGCATGAAGGTTGAAAGTTTAGATGTCTGTTTTGCTCCCTTTTGTTTTGTTTGTGGAAAATATCTTCTCCCTTCCTTTCCTGGTGATGTCCACTGTATTACTGTAGACTTTCCTGGTCCTGCATTTTTTATGTAAAACTTTAGAAAATTTGCAGGGTGCTAGTAATACTGTTCCTGGTTGTACAGCAGATTTTCTATCAAAACATACAGTGAGTATACTGCAGTGGGTGGAGGGGATTGTTGCATCTCAGGAATGTTGCTCCAGAGCCCCTGAGCAGCAGTAAAGCTTTAGTCTGTCAGTTGATAAGCCTGTATATTTTCCACACAGTGCTAATTTTTAATGCGCTTTAGTACACTTATTTTTAATATTTTTCATAGCTATACGCACAAAAGGGCCAGCCTTAAGTAATATAGCAGGACTTAATTTTATGACTAAAGTTCCTTTTTAATAGTATATGTGCTTCAAAGGGTAATTTGGGATAGTACACAGTGATTTGCTTCTTGGACTACTTCCCACAGAAGAAAAGCTGGAGAAAAGCAATAAGGTAGCACAGACTAATGATGTGCAATAAACCAAGGCATCCAGGAATCCTGTGCTGGCTGTATGGGCGCCCTAGCTCTACACATATGAGGTGCCATTTTGTACTGTTTAGAGAATAAATCTGAAATTGCAGTATAGCAAATTTGATCTGCAGGAGAAAATGGAACATTCTCTAATTGGTGTCTTGCTTGCTGTGGTGAGATTACTTTGGCAAATAGAAGGCTGAAGGACAGTACCAAATATTGGAGAATGGTGTGGTAACTACAGATTATTCACAAATGAGTGGAAACATCCTTATAAGTCATTTCTACTCCACTCTATTGAGGTTTAGCTGTTTGTTAATATTATACAGATGACGCATAGACAGTCTGCAGTAGCTATTTAACTTTAAAATTATCAATGTGTGTATATAGAAGGTTAAACATTCATCAAAAATGCATTTGTATGATACATTGAATGTGTTTATTGAGTTTTAGATATAGGCATTACAGCACTGTATACAAAATGTAGTGCAATTTGAACCCAGGTAGGTAGTCAAGGTGACATGTACAATGCATTATCAATAAAATATAGACTTATTGGGTTGAAGATGGTCCAGTCACGTTGACTCAGCAAAGAGCATATAACAGTTATTACAGTTAAGTCAACCAGACAGTCTCAGTTAAGGAGGAAAAAAAGTATCTGGGGAGGAGGTTCTGTGGACAGATCTGCCAGCTCCTCAGTTATCTGCTAGAGGTGTCAGTTAAACCTTGTATGCAGGAAAGGGATATCCATGGCCTCCAAATTGCATGGACTTCCTGTATGCTGTAAATTTTGCTTGGATTTTTTTTTTTATGAATGAGTACAGTGTGGATTCTGGATGTGATTGAGAGTGAGGGGGACTGCCAAGCATTTGTAAAGACTTATCACTAATTTGAAAGTGTTTTTATGTAGTCCTGGGGGTTTGAGAGTCTTCTGGTTAGGACGTAAGTTCCTCCACTGCCAAGACATTGGTGGAGCAAGATTTAGTAGTTTTCCAGATTTGGGCCCAATTAGCAGCACCCAACTCTTTCTAAATCTGCTTATCATCAGTGTGTGAGAAGATGGTTGCTGTGACATCATGGGCATCTTAAGTTGTGTATAGAGAAAGGAGATCAGACCAAAGGCATGTGATTCTGAAGCACATTTTGATTCAAAGGATGTGAGTCCTATGGGGTATCGTATATTAGATTGTATTACCGGTAAGTGTTTTATCTGTAGGTATTGGAAAACCCACTGCATGATGGCTATTTTTCTTGCTGCTGTTGTGCAAAAGGTTTTGAAAATGTTTAATATGTCTGAAGCAGATTCTAGACCTAGCAATGTTGCAATCATTGTTAACCAATACTTTGCTTGTTTTCCAGTGATTGTTTTCCTAAGATGGTGCTGCACTGTGACATCATTGTGCAACAGTGTCCTCACATGGGCATGTGCAGTTGCCCTGGGACGCAATTGGCATCAAGCGCCCAGGTGAGGGGCAATAGGGGCCATTACCTGTGCCTATTTATTCCAGCCTCCTTGCATACTAGTTTTTCACAGCAAAGGATGAAAAGAGCCGTGGGGATTACACCTCTATTACTTATCTAATCTCTGAATGCCAGTGAGGTATATGTCTCCCTTCATAATTCTTTCATCTGAGATTTTCCAGGCCTAGTATTTAACAATAGCTTGAGCACCTGGGGCTTTCTTGGGCAAATATTTTACCATAGCATGGGTAATTTTTTAAACTGTGGGTTGTTGCTTTATATTGACAGAATTTATAATGATGTATGTACACCACCTTTGGGCCCCATATGGCAGAATTATTGCGTATTGGTCTGTTTGACCCTGGGATGGGATGGCTGGATGATTTCAAGTTGCATTTGAGCCTTTTGGCTGACAAATTGGCTCCCTTGATGTATTTACATATTATGGGGAGTAGGAGTGCCGATAGGAACTGTGGGGCTTGCTGTACAGTTACACTTTTAGTCATAGCATACTCTTAGTAATCCAACATGGACCCATACTACTTGTATATTATTTTGATATGGGGTTATTTCAGTTTTTGCCCTTTATCAACAGATTGTCTATAATAGAATATTTTGTAGCCCTTTATTTGTGAATATTGTTATTTTTAGGACCACACGTTTTTTTTTTTCTCTTTTAGAAAGCTGGATGACTGCAATATACTGCTTTGTTGAACCACTTTTCTGTCTTGATTAGAGGCATATGGTTGTTGGGGCCCATTCATCCA